AGCTCCAGCACCTCCAGTACGAGCACCTCCGGGACCAACAGTGCCAGCACCACCAACACCTCCAGCACTAGCAGCACCTCCAGCAGTGCCAGCACCACCAGCACCTCCAGCACCAGCAGCACCTCCAGCACCAGCAGCACCTCCAGCCCCAGCAGCTCTAGTACCTCCAGTACGAGCACCTCCGGGACCAGCAGTGCCAGCACCACCAGCACCTCCAGCACCAGCAGCACCACCAGCTCCGGCAGCTCCAGCACCTCCAGTCTTAGCACCTCCGGGACCAGCAGTGCCAGTACCACCAGCACCTCCAGCACCAGCAGCACCACCAGCTCCAGCAGCTCCAGTACCTCCAGTACGAGCACCTCCGGGACCAGCAGTGCCAGCACCACCAGCACCTCCAGCACCAGCAGCACCACCAGCTCCGGCAGCTCCAGTACCTCCAGTACGAGCACCTCTAGGACCAGCAGCTCCGGCTCCTCTGCTACCTCCAGCTCCAGCGTCTCTAGCGCCAGCACCTCCAGCGCCAGTAGCGCCACTCCGAGGGCGGGAGCGCAGAGCGTACCACTCACGCAGCTGCTGTGGTGAGAGAGGCTCCTGTTGACTAGACTGCTATGGCGAGGCACAGGTAGAACCTCCAGGACTAGTAGCTCCAGCACCCCCAGTACCTCCAGTACCAGCAGTACCTCCAGCACCTCCAGGACTAGCAACTTCAGGGCCTCCAGCTCCAGCAGCGCCACTCCGAAGGCGGTAGCGCTGAGCGTACCACTCGCGCAGCTGCTATGGTGAGAGAGGCCCTGGCTAGACTTCTGTGGTGAGGCACCGGTAGAACCTCCAGGACTAGTAGCTCCAGCACCCCCAGTACCTCCAGTACCAGCAGTACCTCCAGCACCTCCAGGACTAGCAGCTCCAGGGCCTCCAGCTCCAGCAGCGCCACTCCGAAGGCGGCAGCGCTGAGCGTACCACTCGCGCAGCTGCTGTGGTGAGAGAGGCTCCCGTAGTGTAGACGCATTACCCCTAGACTCAGCACCCCCAGGCTCCGCACCCGCAGGCTCAGCACCCCAAGGCTCCATTCGCTCCGGCTCAGCACCCTTAGGCTCCACACCCGCAGGCTCAGCACCCCCAGGCTCCGCACGCTCAGGCTCAGCATCCTCGGGCTCCGCACTCGCAGGCTCAGCACCCCCAGGCTCCGCACTCGCAGGCTGAGCACCCCCAGGCTCCGCACGCTTAGGCTGCGCACCCGCAGGCTCAGCACCCCCAGAGGCAGCACCCCCAGCAGCACCAGAGTCACCAGTGACCTTAACAGGCTCAACCAAGGGGAGTGGGTCTACCTGAGACACACCTGAAGGAGCAGGACCCTGAGGGGGGAGGGGGTCTACCGGAGGGGGACCTGGAGCGAGGAAGAGCGGCGGGGGGGGGGGGGGGAGAGGGGCAGTGCGGTAGGGGAAGAGACGGTAGAAGGGAACCGACTCGTCAAACGTGACGAACTGAGAGGACAGAACACGGCGCGAGGTGGGGTGGTAAAACTGCCAGCCAGGCGCGTCAGGGGGGAAGCCAAGGAAGACGCAGGGAATGGCGCGGGAGGAGAGCTTGTCCGCGGAGGTATCGCGGACAAAGGCACGAGCGCCCCAGACCAAAAACACCGATGCATCGCCAACCTCCCCCGTCCAACGCAGTGTAGGCGAGGTCTCCGGCAAGGAGACACGGGGCCAGAGGTTGAGCTGATGCGCAGCGTACCGGACCGCAAACGGCCACAGAAAATGGGGAGCAGCCGCATGGATGACTACGCCATTGCGGCGCTCAGCAACCCCATTCTGCTGCGGGGAGGCCGGAAGCGTGAACGACTAGAGGATGCCCTCCCCACGACAAAAGTCCGCAAGAGGTCGGAGGAGAACTTACCACCTCTGTCAGAGTGCAGACGCAAGACAGGAAGGTCCGTGTGGAACCGCTCGCGGAGCTGGAGACGGACAGCACGAATCCAAGGGATCAAAATATCAGGGACCTCCCCTTTGCTGCGCAAGGGGAAGACCGTGGTGTAACGCGTGTAGTCGTCAACAACCAGCAGAAAGTACTGCTCGCGGCCCTGTCCCTGGACGCGGGCTGGGCCCCACACGTCCATGTGGAGAGTCTGCAGGGGAGCCTCTGTCGGGGGAAACGAGGAGGAGTGAGGAGCGGCGCGCTGTCGCCCCTCGACGCAAGGAAGGCAGGGCGGGGCAGGCGAGCGCGGGAGGGGGGGCAGAGACCTGGGAAGGCCAGAGACAAGGAAGTGGGAGTGCATGCCACGGAGGCGTGGCAAGGAGGGGTGACCAAGACGGTGGTGCCAGAGGAGAGTCTGTGCGAAGAGTCACTACACAACGGGAGTGGACTACGGAGGAGGGCACGGGGTTGTGCGAGTGATCGTAGCGCTCTGCTAGCGTTCTTACTGCTTGCTATGTTCACTGAGAAGTTTGGCAAGAATTCCACTAAGGAAAGAACAACTTGCATTAACAAAGTTGATAGGAAAGAATAGAGTACAATTGAGGCATGCAGAACAAAAGGACTAGAATGGCATGGAACTCCTAGCAAGGGCGAACTCTGCCAGCGCAGCAGAAGAGCGGCTCGCCAACGCTGCAGCAGAGTGATCTGCCAGCGTTGCACTGCGCGCGGTCTGCCAGCACTGCAGTCGCAGGTGACTATCTGCAATCGCAGGTAACTTTCTACGGTCGCAGGTTGTCTATCTGCGCAGATGTGCGCACCTACCAAGTAGGTGCAGGTTGGCGGTTTCACCGTCAGGCACATTGCGCAGGTGCCAGGTAGAAAACGTGTCGTCGGTTTCGCCAGGTGCGCGCCGTCGACCACGTGATGCCGTTCCGCAGGTAGAACTTCGCCAAAATCTCCTGGGCGAATGTTCGCACGCCTTCGCGGAGTTTCGCGCGACTCTGCAACTTCGGTCAGTCAGCTCGACTCTGCACGGTCGAACAGCGTTCGCCGCGCAGAGCTTCTCGACCAGAACTCTTCGACCAGAGTTCTTCGACCAGCGCTCTTCGACGGAAGCTCGCCGCGTAGAGAGCGTCGACCAGAGCTCATCGCGCAGAGTTCGTCGACCAGATTCCGTCGAGCAGAACCTGCTCGACCGCAACTTCCGCCGAACTGCAGAAGCCCATTTCGTCGACCGCTCCGTCGCGAACTTCCCGTCTACAGCGAGATCAACTACGCGCAAGCAAGGGCGGGGCCATTTCCTTCGACAGTCTGGTGCGAGAGGTGGCGACACGAGCAGGGGGCTGCTACTTGACCTGACGCGGACACCTGACTAGACGCAGCTACCTGGGGCGGCTTAGTAGTCAGTGTGTACAGGCTCGACCCAGGCCGACGGGTAAACGTGGCCAGGTGGCGACCCGTCCATGCACACGTGCAGATGGCCACACGCTGTCCGTCAGGGATAAAGATGTCAACCCAGTCAACCGCAGTCGGTCACTAGCTAATGGTGGGCCCGGAAAAAAAAAAAAAAAAAAAAAAAAAAAAAAAAAAACGGTCCTACGGACCTACTGCTCTGATACCATGTGAGAAACTAACAAGCAGGAATGAATGCACTAGGCAGAAATGTGTGCGCAAGTACTAACCCTAATTGGGTTGTACCCTATATGGGCTACCCCACTACAGCCTACACAGCACAAACATGATTGCAGCTTTGACAACAGTGTGGTTTCATAATCCATTCCATTGTTCTCAATCTGTTTTCTCTCTGTATTCCTCTGTCTTCCCTTCCCCAGCCCTACATCCCTCCCCGCCCAGGCCTCACGCCAGCAGAGGAGTTTTACCGCCTAGTCACCCCGCGCTGCCTCTCCTCCACACTGCTCTTGGGCATCAGCGTCATGTCGTGGTTCGAACACGTGGGCCGAGTCATCTGCGCCTTTCTGGTGCAATTCCATTGGCTCTCAGACCCCCTCGCTGCTCTCCTTCTGCCCCGCATAGGTGCCAAGTGAGTGTGGGGTTGTGAGTTGAGGAGTCCGAGTGAATGGGAGAATCTAAGTGGGTTGAAAAATCTGGGTCAGTGGGAAAGTCTAGTGCAAAAGTGAGACTCCTCTCCTCCGCACTGCTCCTGGGCATCAGCGTCATGTCATGGTTCGAACTTGTGGGCCGAGTCATTTGTGCCTTGCTGGCGCAATTCCATAGGCTCTAAGACCCGCTTGCTGCACTGCTTCTGCCCCGTGTGGGAGCCAAGTGAGTGTGAGGCTCTGAGTAGGAAACTCTGAATGAGTGGGAGATTCAGCCGTCACACACAACACACCGTATGGCATGAACATACTCCTCTCCCTCATACTCCCCTCTCTCGTGCTTCGCTCTCCCTTTGGCAGGCTCCCGCCCTCCTTCATGCGGGATTTTACCAGCCACACACACCACACCGCATGGCACTGCCTTCAACACCATCTGCTTCCCCTCACTCCTGCCACTTTCCCCTCCTTCCTCTCTCTCTCTCCCTCTCCTCTCCCCTTCACACTGCATGGCACTGCTTCTTCAACACCATCTGTCTCTCCTCTCAAATGCCCCCCCCCCCCCCCTCCCCCCCAATTGTTCCCTCCCTCCCCATACAACAGGCTCCCACCCTTCTTCATGCGGGATTTCACCCTTCACACACACCACACCGCCTGGCACTGCTTCTTCCCCTCATCCCTGTCACTTTCCTCTCCCTCCTCGCTCTCTCCCTTCTCTGCTACAGGCTCCCTCCATCCTTCATGCGGGATTTCATCCTTCCGCCTGGCACTGCTTCTTCAACACCATCTGTCTCTCTCTCCTCTCATATGCACCCGCAACTGTTCTCTCCCTCTTGTTGCTGCAAGCTTCCGCCCTCCTTCATGCGGGATTTCACCCGCCACACACACCACACCGCATGGCACTGCTTCTTCAACGCCATCTGTGACGGCACCAACTTCCTGGAACCTTCCCTACACTTGCTGCACAACCAGAGCCTCACAAACGTTCTCGCTACAAGCAGTGGTGCTTGTAATGAGATTAAATCAAGCGTTCCTATGACTATAGTGCACGGTGATAAGGACAAGCTGTGCCCGATTGACTCTAGCAGGAGGTTGGCTTGGCGGCATCTGAACGTGAAGCTGTTGGAGGTCCGGAGAGAGAACCGCATTACAGTGGTGGTGGGTAGGGAGAAAGAAGTTGCGCAACAAATTGTGGAGCTTGTTGAGGAAGTTGACGCCACAAACATGATCGCATGAGCATGTTGATATATAAAGAGGCGATTTTTTAGTCTTCCCAAAGTCACCTAGTTGTGGTGGGTAGGGAGAAAGAGGCTGCTTGTCAAATTGTGGAACTTGTTGAGGAAGTTGAGGCCACAAACATGATCGCATGAGCATGTTGATTTTTTTTTCTTCGTGGTTTAGCACCATATTGGTTTCTGTGAGCAGGCCCCACGATATCAGGGCAAAACATCCTGATTACCCTGATTTCAGGATGCAGTTTTGAATTTACCTTGTGATTTCAGAATTGTGTCAATTTTCACCCTGTGGCCTCAGGATGTTGTATTTTGAAATGCCCTGGAAGTTCAGGATGGCCGTGATGTTCTTCCCTGTAGCTTCAGGATGAATGTCGAGGCTTGCCCTGGCGCAATTTTTTAGGGGGAAGAGGATGGAGGGGGGGGGGGGGGGGGGGGGGGGGGGGGGGGGGGGGGGGGGGGGGTGGGGGGGGGAAGGGGGGTGGTATTCCCGTTCCAGGGGGATTTTTTCCCCCTGCGTCTTTTCCCCGCCTTCGCACGATTCCTTTGAAAGATCCGATCCCCCGCAACGCACCTTCCAAACACATCGCTCTCGTCTCGTTGTGTTGGCATGGGTAGGGGCTTGGTCATAGGTCAGGTTGGGGTTTGGTGGGTTCGGAGTTTTCTGCATTGCCTGCATCAGCTGAAGAAGGGAGCTGCAGGTTTCCGGTTCGACTCAGCAGGCATTGGGCGCGGCTGTGGCATGGCATGGGCATCGGTTGGGAGTCGAGCGGCTTCGGAGTGTTTCCTTTGCTTGGATTGAATCAGAACCCTGAACACTCGATCTTTTGCCCTGACAGGTCAGGATCAATTTCTGCAAAAGCCCTGACACTACAGGAAGGTTTTGAAAAATTGCCCTGACAAATCAGGGCATTTTTTAAGATTCTGGAAAGGTGCCCTGAGGCCTCAGGGTGCCCCAAATCCTAGCACGGGGCCTGTCTGTGAGGTATAGTACATCTATTTATAGCGATGAGTATGAAGCGTAATTGTATTGCAGAACCCTATATCATGCAGCGCGCAACCCGCACTCGCTGCAGCAACGCGCCTGCTTTGGTGACTCGTCCAGGCTGTTTCATCCTCCTACATGCATGCATACTTTGATTTGAAAGGATCATTTTGGTGCTTTGAATGCACGAACCAGACCTACGTACTCTTTAGCGAGCTCTTCTGTACTGTGGTGTGGCATGCTCGTTGCAAGCCAACAACTTAACCGTCGCTTACGTTTATTTTACGCGATAGCATACGATCTTGATGATTCGTAAACGGTTTTGTGCGTTAGAGAAGGATAGTTGTACCCCAACGTCCTTAGGACGCGGCATATGTTTTCATTTTGCCGAGATCATGGAAGATCGATGCCCATACACCGAATCTCCCACATCGAGCGGCACCCCGATGTGCACACACTGCAAACTTGCAGTGAGGTAAACACACCGAGCCTCGGGTGCCAGGTTCAAAATTGCTGGTTCGGACGGGTAGGTCCCGCAGCAGAATACACCAACGAATTAGTCGTTAACCATTCAGAGCGAGGAACAGACTGTCGTTATCCAATCAATTTTTGTTAGCGACCGTGGGCGACGCCGATCGATCGCGATTGTCACCTGTGGCGCAATGTGCTCTCCCGCCAAGCCAAACGCACGATCGATGTGTGCACCATGGCACATCGATCGTGCGAGCTGCAGGTGCCACCATTTTGGGTACCCGTTTACTGTACATTCTCGACGTTCTGCTAAAACCGGATACCAGGCATTGGCGATGTCGCCAAATCACTGTAGAAGCTGCACATCGATCCCCACCCACGATCGATCGTGGCAAAATAAAAGCAGGTGCCGCGTCCTAATTGTGCCCCAGTGTCTCCAACTTGCCAGCAAGCCGACGCATAGTTTCGGGTTTTGAGTTGAGCACGCACTGTTACTGAACTTCTTCGCTCCCAGCGCAGCTACAGCGCTTCTGGCGCACTGTTACTGCCCAGTTTTCGCTCACAACGCAGAGTTAGCTCCTTTCAACGCAGCTTTTATTTCATTGGTCTACATATGGCACATAACTACAAGCCGAACCTGTGGATACTGACACAGAAAACAGTAACTATTGGTGTTTGTTTTTAGTGATTAAAATTATGTATACCCATTCAAAAAGGGTATCAGCCCTAAACACCTTTCGAATGGTGTTTAGGGTTGATGCTAACGAGGCAAGCCATCGAAGAAAAAATATACTCGTTGGGTAGGGCATCAACCCTAAACACCTTGTCTCCCGGTGTTTAGGGTTGATGTCTCCCTCGAAAAACATGCCACCCGATAGGGTTTTATTTTTTTATGCCCGCACTCGCTCCCCCCGCACGCACTCGCTCCCCCAGCGCGCATTCGCTGCCTGCGCGCGCATTCGATCCCCCCGCGCTCGCTCGCTCCTCCCGTGCGCACTCGCTCCCTCCGCAAGCAACTTCTCCCCAGCGCGCATTCGCTCCCCCCGCACGCACTCCCTCCCCCCGCGCGCATTCAGTAGCCCCGCACGCACTCCCTTTTCCGCCTGGGCTCGCTCGCACATCGATTGGGAGCCATCGTCGTTCCCTCTGCTCTGCGCCCCGCGCACCCGCCCCTACTTTCCACCACTACCCAACCATCCACCCTTGTCACACTTTCTCCTCTCCTCTTTCCCCCTCCCTCTCCTCACTCTCGCACTCCGTCCCACCCTCCCTCACCCCTCCCTCGCCCCTGCCTGCCCCATGGCTCTCCCCATCCCGTGGTGTGCGACTCACGTGGGCGGAGGTGGAGCCGAACATAATCTTCTTCGTCTTCGAGCTGTAGCAGATCAAGGTGCGCTCCCACCCTGCCCTGGTGCCTCTGCTCCCTCTGCCCACTCTGCTGCCTATGCTCCCTCCATTCCCCCCCTGCATCCCCTCCTTTCCTTCCCCTGCATCCCCTCCTTTCACCCCTGCATCCCCTCCTTTCCCCCCCTGCATCCCCTCCTTTCCTTCCCTGCATCCCCTCCTTTCACCCCCCCTGCATCCCCTCCTTTCCCCCCCCTGCATCCCCTCCTTTCCCCCCCTGCATCCCCTCCTTTCCCCCCTGCATCCCCTCCTTCCCCCCCCTGCATCCCCTCCTTTCCCCCCCTGCATCCCCTCCTTTCCCCCCCTGCATCCCCTCCTTTCCCCCCCCTGCATCCCCTCCTTTCCCCCCCTGCATCCCCTCCTTCCGCCCCCCTGCATCCCCTCCTTTCCCCCCCTGCATCCCCTCCTTCCGCCCCCCTGCATCCCCTCCTTTCCCCCCCTGCATCCCCTCCTTTCCCCCCCTGCATCCCCTCCTTTCCCCCCCCTGCATCCCCTCCTTTCCCCCCCTGCATCCCCTCCTTTCCCCCCCTGCATCCCCTCCTTTCCCCCCCTGCATCCCCTCCTTTCCCCCCCTGCATCCCCTCCTTCCGCCCCCCTGCATCCCCTCCTTTCCCACCCTGCATCCCCTCCTTTCCCCCCCCTGCATCCCCTCCTTTCCCCTCCTGCATCTCCTCCTTTCTCCCCCTGCATCCCCTCCTTTCCCCCCCTGCATCCCCTCCTTTCCCCTCCTGCATCTCCTCCTTTCTCCCCCTGCATCTCCTCCTTTCCCCCCCTGCATCTCCTCCTTTCCCCCCCTGCATCTCCCCCCCATCCACCGTGCCATTCTGCCTACTACTGCAGGTGAAGTACGTGTTTGACACCATAGCGCTGGCTGTTGGCCTTACAATGGCTCTCATCAACGGCCAATCATAGCTTGCTGACGGGGCAACCCACCTCGTGCCGCACCCTACTGCCCGTTCTGGCCCCGTGGGCCTCCTCAGTCACTCGCTCACCCTCGCCGCTGCCGCTACCGGCCCTTCCACCACCGCTGCTGCCATGTCAGGGGTCGCCGGCATGCATGCTGACATGGCAGTGAGCATACCGACTATTTGCTTCTAGTGTCGTAGTCCCGTGTTACTGCTTCCCCTCCTTTCCCCCACTGCTTCCACACCTTTCCCCCACTGCTTCCACACCTTTCCCGCACTGCTTCCACACCTTTCCCCCACTGCTCCCACACCTTTCCCCCACTGCTTCCACACCTTTCCCCCACTGCTTCCACACCTTTCCCCCACTGCTTCCACACCTTTCCCCCACTGCTTCCACACCTTTCCCCCACTGCTTCCACACCTTTCCGCCACTGCTTCCACACCTTTCCCCCACTGCTTCACCATCTGCTACTCCAGCGTTACCCTCTCTGCCTCATACCCTCTCTGCCTCATACCCTCTCTGCCTCATACCCTCTCTGCCTCATACCCTCTCTGCCTCATACCCTCTCTGCCTCATACCCTCTCTGCCTCATACCCTCTCTGCCTCATACCCTCTCTGCCTCATACCCTCTCTGCCTCATACCCTCTCTGCCTCATACCCTCTCTGCCTCACCCCATCTCTGCCTCACCCCATCTCTGCCTCACCCCATCTCTGCCTCACCCCATCTCTTCCTCACCCCATCTCTGCCTCACCCCATCTCTTCCTCACCCCATCTCTGCCTCACCCCATCTCTTCCTCACCCCATCTGTTCCTCACCCCATCTCTTCCTCACCCCATCTCTTCCTCACCCCATCTCTTCCTCACCCCATCTCTGCCTCATACCCTCTCTGCCTCCTTCAATGGCTGGTCCGCCTGGCAGGGACCAAAAGCTTGTGGTGTCCAGGAAAGGCGACCTGCTGCGTGAACCTATCCTCGCTCGCCTATCCTCCCCATCGCCTGCCAGCATCATCACATTTCCTGCGTCGCCTAAGCTGGCTGCACACTTGACCCATCGTACATTGCTTAGTGTGCATGGATTGCCTCTGTGCTTTTACTTGTAACCGTACTGCTTTGATTACATAGTTTGTTATGGTAGGGAACATGCTGTAAATTTTGGTAAAGTTATCCTCCAACCTGTAATGATGTTACAGAACACCGTGGTCAATAACCAGTTGATAAAAAACACTGTACATGCTGCTACCAAGAGGCTTCAAGCTGCTTTGTTACCATCGCTGCCCTATCCATGCCCAAGTTGCTGGTTCTTATGTGCCATGTGTGGCGTAGGAAGTTCATTCAGGAAGGCACCACACCTGCAACACAAGCACAGAGATTGAGCAAGGGAACGCAATGTGAGTCCTGTATGAGATGAGCATGAAACTAGTGTGGGATGTAGTGGAGGGAAAAGTGGGCAGTATCGGGAGTAAACGCAGGAATGTAGAGCTCAGTTTCAACTAAGAAAAAACACGGGAGTGTGGGGGATGAAATATGGGAGAATATGAGTGTGGGAGACCTGGAGGGACAGATGGTGAGCAGAGCGCCCTTTGTAGGGGAGGGTGAAAGAAGGGGTAGGGGAGAGAAGGGAGAAGAATGCCCCTGGTAGGGGGAGGGGAGGTGAGCAAGGGGTGCCTGATAGGGGCAGGAGGTGGTATGGGGAGGGGAGATGAGGAGGGAGTAGGTGGGTGAGGTGGGGGATGGAGGAGGCAAAATGGGACGGAGGGGTGGCAATGGGTTGGAAGGCGGATGGAGGGGAGCTTAGGGAGAGGCAGGATACGGAGGGTAAATGCAAGCATGGTGACATGAGATGGGGCTGAATGAGAATGGAGGTGATGGGAGGCGTGAAGGTGAGATGGGAAGGCAGGGAGAGGTGATGGGAGGCGTGAAGGGAGGCATGAAGGGGAAATGGGGAAGGCGGGATGGGAGAATAAGAGGCGGGACGAGAAGAAGGGAAGGCGGGATGGGAGAATAAGAGGCGGAACGAGAAGAGAAGGAAGGGAAGGGAGAGACAGGAGTTTGCAAAAAAGGATGAGAGGGAAAGGAGCATAGGGAGAGAAGGTAGGTGGGGAGGGAAGCGAGGGACGGGAGAGAAGGGAGGGAAAGGAGAGACGTGATAGCAGGGAGAGGAGGAACGGAAGGAAGGGAGGGAACTCCGAGAAGGGAGAGACGGGAGAGAAGGGAGGGATTGGAGGGAAAGGAGGGAAGGGAGGGAAGGGAGGGAACGGAGAGAAGGGAGGGAAGGGAGAGAAGGGAGGGAAGGGAGGGAAGGGAGGGAAGGAGGGAAGGGAGGGACGGGAGAGAAGGGAGGGACAGGAGATTGCAAGGAGGAATGAGAGGGAAGGGAGAAAAGGGAGCGAAGGTAGGGGGGGAGGGAAGGGAGGAAACGGAGGAGAAAAGGGTGGGAAGGGAAGAAGAGAAACGGAGAAAAGGGAGGGAAGGGAGCGAAGGAAGGAAATGGAGGGAAGGGAGAGAAGGGAGGGAAGGGAGGGATGGGAAGGGAGGGAAGGGAGAGAAGGGAGGGAAGGGAGCGAAGGAAGGAAATGGAGGGAAAGGAGAGAAGGGAGCGAAGGGAGGGATGGGAAGGGAGGGAAGGGAGAGAAGGGAGGGAAGGGAGGGAAGGGAGGGAAGGGAGGAAAGGAAGAAAAGGGAGGGAAGGGAGGGAAGGAGAAACGGAGAAAAGGGAGGGAAGGGAGCGAAGGAAGGAAATGGAGGGAAGGGAGAGAAGGGAGGAAAGGGAGGGATCGGAGGAAAGGGAGGGAAGGGAGAGAAGGGAGGGAAAGGAGGGAAGGGAGGAAAGGGAGGGAAGGGAGAGAAGGGAGGGAAGGGAAAGAAGGGAGGGAAGGGTGAGAAGGGAGGGGGAGAGAAGGGAGGAAAGGAGAGAAAAGGGAGAGAAGGGAGAGAAGGGAGAGAAGGGAGGGAAGGGAGAGAAGGGAGGGAAGGGAGAGAAGGGAGGGAAGGGAGGGAAGGGAGGGAAGGGTGAGAAGGGAGGGGGAGAGAAGAGAGGAAAGGGAGGAAAGGGAGGGAAGGGAGAGAAGGGAGGGAAGGGAGGGAAGGGAGGGACGGGAGGGACGGGAGGGAAGGGGGAGAAGGGAGGGAAGGGAGGTAGGAAGGGGAGAATGGGAGGCGGGAAGGGGAGAATGGGAGGCGGGGGGAATGGTTGAATGAGAGGCGGGAAGGGGAAAATGGGCGGAAAGAACGGGTTCTTCGGGCGGCGGGTAGGGGAATGGGTGGCGGGAAGGTCAAAGGGGCGGCGGAAAGGGGAATCGGGCGGAGGGAAAGGGCATTGGGGGGCGGGAAAGGGGAATCGGGCGGCAGACACGGGAATGGGGCGGCGGGTAGGGGAGTCGGGCGGCGGGAAAGGGAATTTGGGCGGCGGGAAGCTCAAAGGGGCGGCGGAACTTGGAATCGAGCGGCGGGAAAGGGAGTTGGGCGGCGGAAAGGGGCTCACGGAGCGGCGGGAAGTGGAATCGCGGCGGCCAGGGCAGCAAATCGGGGGGAAGTCGAGGTTGGAAAAAAATGCACACCGTCGCGCCTACTCAACCTGCGTCAGCCGAATCTGAGTGACTGGGCTATGAGGCGCCTCCGTGAGCGTAAGAGCGAAGCTATCTCGCGGCGTTCGTTGCCACGCGTGTTCAAGTTAAACTGCGGGGCCGATCCGGCGCCATCAGCTATGGACGGTGCGGAGTGGCTAATTTCCTCGGCTTTCAAGTGGCCGCGTGCTGGGGTTTGCGACGGCGGCGATTCCACGAGAGGCGTCGCCGCGAGGGTAACTCTAGTCGATTTCTAGCCTTTCACAGCTGGGCCGGCGAATGTCATTGCAGCGAAGCAATATAGACGGTCGTATGGTCGCTAAATGACCGCTCAGAGAGATGCGCTACCCTCGGTAATTACGGATTGCGTTGGCTTTTGCGCACGCACGGTAGTTACGCTAGTCGACGCTGAGCTAATAGGGTGGGGCTAGTGGGGAGGAGGCAGCCGCTTCAGTATACTTTTGGCATACCATAAACTTTTGACGTGAGAGTCTGCTCTGGGGGGTTGGAAAGACACGGACCCTCTCGAGAGAAGTCGAGTGACACTGTAATTCGGTTACCACCAGGTACCTTTTATAAACTTTTGGCACAGGCCCTGCCAAATGTATACCGCCGCTTTAACGACCCGTCAATTCTACGACCAATGAAAGCAAAACTGCGTTGAAAGGAGCTAATACTGCGTTTGTGAGCGAAAACTGGGCAGTAACAGTGCGCCAGAAGCACTGTAGCTACGTGGGGAGCAAAAAAGATCAGTAACCGTGCATGCTCAACTCAAAACCCCATAGTTTCTGGCTAGAAGCAGGAGCAACAGAGCAACAGAGCAACAGAGCTCGCATTTCCTTCGTGTTCGAAGGATCCCGCATGGGCGTGGCCGACAATGGGTGCCGACTGACGTTTTCTGTGAACTGTTTGTTAGACGGTTTCAGTTTGGGACCTGACTGACGACGATCGGCGACTGGCGAACGACGGTCCGCATTGGACGGACAAAACTGTCCACTTGAAAGTACCGGCGACTGACCATCGGCGATGTTTCGTTAGCTTTTCAACGTTTTTCTCCAATCGCGCCGTTCTGGTAACCACATCAATTTCATAGGGGCTCGCTTCGCGGTATCTCATAATCCGAGCGCGTTTCCTTCATATAATTGACGGATAAGAATTTCCGAGAATTTTATCCGCAAGCCATGGCCGCCTCTTTGTCCCGTCATGCCAAATCATGCATTCTCCCCCGCTTTTTCCGAAATGCTCTCCTCCTCCTACTCCTCCTCCTCCTCCTACTGCCGCCACCGCTGCCGTCCCCCGTGTCAATCCTACTCTTCCCAACGCGACCCGCCGTTCCCTCTTGCTGCGCCGCCGCCTTCGCCGCGGCTCACGCAATCCGCGGGCCGTCAGCCTCGCGCGACGTTGACCAGACGTCGGCGCGGACCCACGTGGCCTACAGGACAGCAGCCAATCAGGCTCCTCGTCGGCGCGTGCTGCTGCCGCGGGAATCGCCCGAGGAGTTGGTTTCAGGCATGCAGCTTCACGGGGACGCTGAAGGCTTGAAGCCGCGCTCTTCTGACAATACTATTAGTAAGACAACAGCTGTTGGAACGGCAACAGCTGACCAGGCTTCTCGTCGTCGCGTGCTGCTGCCGCGGGAATCGCCCGAGACGTTCGGATCAGGCATGCAGCTTCACGAGGACTCTGAAAATCCGAAGCCAAGTTCCGAAGCAGCAGCTGGGACGACGGCGTTCGGAGCAACAATTGCTGACCCACCTCGCCGTCGCGTGCTATTGCCGCGGGAATCGCCCGAGGCGTTCGGGTCGGGCATGCAGCTTCACGAGGACCTGATGCCGCTGTGGGACATGGCGGCTCGCGTTGCTGTCAACGGGACCATTCTTGTCGTGGTCTCCAACGCAGGTAACGGAGTGAAGTGACCCAGCATTTCCTGAGGGATGGGATCAGGGGTAGGGGTCGGGCATGCGGCTTCACGAGGACCTGATGCCTCTGTGGGACATGGCGGCTCGCGTTGCTGTTAACGGGACCTCGCTTGTCGTGGTTTCCAATGCTGGTAAGGGAGTGAAGTGAAGTGAGTGGGATTGTTTCTGTGTGTTCGGATCAGGCATGCAGCTTCACGAGGTTCTGATTCCGCTGTGGGACATGGCTGCCCGCGTTGCTGTCAACGGGATCGTCCTCGTGGTGATTTCTGACGCGGGTAAGGGATTGAGGAGAGTGGAAATGGAATTATGCTAGTCGACTACTCTACGTCACACCCCATTCCTCGCTACTCTACCGCACACCTCTCCACCGCACTACATCTCGTTTACCCCCTTTCCCAACCCTCTGTTCCTGCGTCTGTCCAGCCTGCACTGACATACTGGGTGCAAGCACCAGCACTCCTTACTACCCTACCTCACACCTAACCACCGCACTGCATCCATAAACCACCGTTTCCACCCATTCGTTTCTGTATCTGTCCCAGGCTACACTGAATGACATGCAGGAGAACTGGGTGCGTGCATGCATGAGCACTTCTCACTATTCTGCACCGCACTGCATCGTGTTAAACAACATCTCCACCCCTTTGTTTCTGTATCTGTCCCCAGGGTACCCGACATGCTGGAGAACTGGGCGCGTGCAACAGCACTGCACTACCCTACCCCACACCTCTCCATCGCACTGCATCTCGTTAAACCCCATTTTACCCCTGTATCTGTCCCAGGCTACATGGACATGCTGGAGAACTGGGTGCGCCACGTCAGCAATGCGGGGCTGGGAGCACACTTCATTCTTTTCGCAGAGGATGAGGAAACTCTTAGGTTCGGCCAGACCAGATGGCCCGGGCAGGTGAGGCATGGTTGGCTGCAAAGGAGTAACATGGTTATTTTTGAGTCTAGACAAGTTTGGGGCTGGGAGCGTATTTCATTCTCTTTGCCGAGAATGAGGATACTCTTAGGTTCGGCCAGACCAGATGGCCCGGGCAGGTGAGCGTGAGGCATCGGGGGTTGCAATGTCAGGCAATGCATGGGGTAGGCATGGGGTAGGCATGACCCTTAGGTTCGGCCAGACCAGATGGCCCGGCCAGGTGAGGCACTGGCAAGTGGTGCGTGGTTAGGTTAGGCGTGTGGTTAGATTAGGCGTGGTTAGTTGAATGGGCAGGTAAGGCATGGTTAGGTTAGGAGTGGTTAGTTGCAAAGGCAGAGACATTATATGCTGCAAGGGCGAGTGAGTCATGTACTAATCCCCTCTTGCCCATCCCACCATCTCCCCTCTCACCCGTCCCCCCACAGACCATCCACCTGGCCCTTCCCGACCAATCACTCTCCGCCACCTGGCAAGCCTCCTCCGAAGCACTCTTCCCACACTCCCCACACTCCCCACACTCCGCCACACGCGCAGGCACTCTCTCCTTCCACCTCCTCGCCTCCCGCCGCATCCTCTACCTGCTCCACCTCCTCTCCTTCGGATTCAACCTCCTCTATTCCGACACTGACGTTGCCATTCTCCGCAACCCTCTCCCAGAAATAACTGCCGATCCGAAACAGACATTTGACATGGCACTTACCCTCGATGGTTACGAGTCAAACTGGCAGAAGAAAGCGGTCCAGGTGGAGAGTTACGGCGTTGCGAAGCTAGCTGACCGGAAACTTTCCGTTTCGAGCTCGCTGCTTTTTCTCCGCCCGACTTCAGGGGCTAAGTGTTTGGTGGGGGACTGGGCGAATAGGCTGATGAAGTTGGGGAGGGACGAAGGGACAGAACAGGAGCATTTGAACGCGCTGATTGTTGAAATGGATAAGTACGGTCTTTTGCCGAGAATCGCCGTGCTGCCCGCGCAGAAATTTTTGTCCGGGCAGCTTCTGCTGGAGGATGATTGGGCGACGGTGGAGGCTTTAAAGGGGGAGCTGGTGACCGTGCATGCGGGCGGGCTGATGGGAAAAGACGCCAAGAGGTATGCTCTGAACAAAATAGGGTTTTGGATTGCTGAGTCGGATGCAGCAGCAGCAGCAGGTGGAGAAGGGGAGAGTGGAGGGGAAGCAACAGGAGGAGGAGAAAGTGGGGAAGCAGCAGCAGCAGGAGGCGGGGAAAGGCGGGGTGAAGCGGCAGCAGGAGCAGGGTCGAACTCAGAGCCTGCTTCCTCTTCAAACGAGGACAGCAAATGGCCTAGTACAATCGAAACCAGCACCCTCAGCAACAGCAGCAGCAGCAGCGGTTTGGGTGCAGGGGACAAGGGGCCGTTCTGTGTGGGGCTGCTGTGTCCTGAGATGCATGTATCGCAGGAGGAGGTGGTGCTGCTGTCAGTGCAGCCGTGGGTGCAGCGCCACGTGCAGCAGATGGACCCTCTTGTTCCCATGGTGGCCTCAGCCGACCGCTTTGTCATCGTCACCACTGCGTGTAAAGGTAAGAACAGTACGGTGGGCGCGTTGGAGGAGGTGGTGCTGCTGTCTGTGCAGCCGTGGGTGCAGCGGCATGTGGAGAAGTTGGATTCCCTGGTGCCCATGGTGGCCTCAGCCGAGCGCTTTGTGATTGTCACTGTTGCGTGCCAAGGTAAGAGCAGAACAATGAGTGTGTTGGGTGGAGCAGGAGGAGGTGGTGCTGCTGTCCGTGCAGCCGTGGATGCCGCGGCATATAGAGAAGTTGGATTCCCTGGTGCCCATGGTTGCTTCAGCTGACCGCTTTGTGATTGTCACTGCAGCGTGTAAAGGTGAGTCCATGCACATGTGGTAGTGGCAGGGCAGTACCTGGGGCAGGTGAGCGTCTGTTTCTGTGTCTGTGTGGGACTGCTGTGCCCTGAATCTAGTTTTGAGGCGCCTCATAACAGGGGTCCGTTCTGTGTGGGGCTGCTGTGTCCTGAGATGCATGCATCGCAGGAAGAGGTGGTGCTGCTGTCTGTGCAGCCGTGGGTGCAGCGGCATGTGGAGAAGATGGACCCTCTTGTTCCCATGGTGGCCTCAGCCGACCGCTTTGTCATCGTCACCGCTGCGTGTAAAGGTAAGAACAGTACGGTGGGTGCGTTGGAGGGTGGTGCTGCTGTCCGTGCAGCCGTGGGTGCAGAGTCATGTGCAGCAGATGGATGCTCTTGTTCCCATGGTGGCCTCAGCCGACCGCTTTGTCATCGTCACTGCGGCGTGCAAAGGTACAAGTGGGTTTGTGGGTGTGTGGAAGGGTGGGTGTTTCGGTGGGTGCAGCGCCACGTGCAGCAGATAGACCCTCTTGTTCCCATGGTCGCCTCAGCTGACCGCTTTGTGATTGTTACCGCAGCCTGCAAAGGTAGGCTGTAGAATGCTTGTGGTGCAGCCGTGGGTGCAGCGCCACGTGCAGCAGATAGACCCTCTTGTTCCCATGGTCGCCTCAGCTGACCGCTTTGTGATTGTTACTGCGGCGTGTAAAGGTAGGTACTAGCGAACAATGGGATGTGTGGGTAGGTGTGGATGGGTGCAGCAGTGTTCGAGCGGACAGGTGGGATGTGCAGCAGGTTGAATGCCATGCACTCTGCTCTGCTGCAGTGCCCCATCTCCCATCTCCTCTATCCACGTTCTATTCGTCTCTCTGTCCTTCCTTGTTCACCCCCGCCACTACCAGGTCAAATCCCTCTCTTCACCAAATGGTTCAATACCATGCACTCTGCTGCCATGCCCCACCTCCCATCATGCTCCCCTCTTCCCTAACCCTCTACCCCCCTCTCCGCCTACCCTCCCCTGTGTGCTACCTACCAGGTCAAGTGCCTCTCTTCACCAACTGGTTCAACGCCATGCACTCTGCTGCCATGGCTGGCCATGTGATCGCTTCAGTACCTCAAGAGGTATGGCGTAAGGGTATGTATGTTCCAGAGGATGTTGATGTAAGAGCTGCCTCAAGGGGCATGCTGCTCGGCATGCTTCTCTCATCACCAGCTGGTTCAACTCAACGCCATGCACTCTGCTGCCATGTGATTGCCTCAGTACCACAAGAGGTGCGTGGTCACAAGAGGCATGTAGCTGGGTGTGATAGCTCTACCCTTCACCAACTGTTTCAATTCAACGCCATGCACTCCGCTGCCATGGCTGGCCACGTGATCGCCTCCGTGCCTCAAGAGGAACGTGCGGCAAGGAACGTGCGTGTCCCAAGAGGCATGTAGCTGGGCTGGGCATGATAGCTTCTCTCTTCACCAACTGGTTCAACGCCATGCACTCTGCTGCCATGGCAGGCCACGTGATCGCCTCCGTGCCTCAAGAGGTATGCAGCCTAATGAGGCATGGGAATGTGTGTGCCTCAAGAGGTATGCAGCCTAATGAGGCATGGGAATGTGTGTGTCTCAAGAGGTACGTGTGTGGCAAGGTACGTGTGTGCGTGTCCCAAGAGGCATGTAGCTGGGCTGGGCATGATAGCTTCTCTCTTCACCAACTGGTTCAACGCCATGCACTCTGCTGCCATGGCAGGCCATGTGATTGCCTCCGTGCCTCAAGAGGTGCGTTGCCGCAAGGAGCGTGTGTGCCCTTAGAGGTACGCCATACGGGTCTACGAGTTTATGTTTGTGATACAGGTCTGCGTGTACATCAAGTCTCTAGAGGTGCTTTTTAAAGGCGTGTGTGCCTTCCCTCCCTCCCTGCCTTCCCTGCCTGCCTTTCGTCCCTGCACTCCCTGCCTTCCCTGCTCCCTGCCCTCCCTGCTTTCCCTCCCTGCCCTCCCTGCCCTCTGGTTCCTCCCTTCCCCCCTCCCCTTCCCGCCTTCCCTTCCCTCCCTCCGCTCCCAGCCTGCCCTCCTGAGTGCTTTTTCGCTGCTCTCTCCCTCGCTCGCTTTCCCCACAGGTGGAGAGAGTAAACTGTTGTGTGCTTGCCTGACTGTGCCCTCGCCCTCAACCCCCCTAACAGCTGGATGCCGCAAACCATACCTTGCTGAGGCAGCACAAGGCAGAGTGAGAGAGTGAGAGGCCCACAAGGCAGCACTCACGTGCCTGCTGTTGTTCTTACTCCCCTCCTCCCTTCCCGCCCTCCCTTCCCTGCCCCCCCTGCTCTTGCTCCCGGCCTTCTCTTCCCTCCCTGTCTTCCTTGCCCACAGGTGGAGGGTACCAGCCAAGGGCTGCTGAGGCAGCCAGAGGAGAGCGAGTGGACTGCTGTGTGCTTTCCTGACAGACTGTGCTCTCTCCCTCTCCTTCCTCCCATAACAGGTGGAGGGTACCAGTCAAGGCCTGCTGAGGCAGCCAGAGGAGAGTGAGTCGCCCTACAAGGCAGCCCTCACGTGCCTGCTGCTGCCCTCCCATCCATCCATCCCTGCCCTCCCTGCCTTCCCTCACTTCACCCCTCAACAGGTGGAGGGTACGAGCCAAGGCCTGCTGAGGCAGCCAGGGGAGAGTGAGTCGCCCTACAAGGCAGCCCTCACGTGCCTGCTGCTGCCCTCTCTGCTCATGGAGCGAGTGCTCAAGCTCGGCTACAACGTCATCTACAGGTACAGTGCGATAGAGTACAGTACAATACGGTGCAGTAGAGTACAGTACAGGTACAGCACTTTGTTTAGTCTTCTCAACAGGCACCAAAGCAGCCCTCACGTACCTCTCTGCTCATGGAACGAGTGCTGAAGCTCGGTTACAACGTCATCTACAGGTTAGTGACAAGTGTTACATTCTTTTGTAGTTCCCTATCTACAAGAACAGTGCATTCTTCAGTGGGTTTTTCAATCGCAAAGCAGCACTAGGCCCTCACGTGCCTGCTGCTAACCTTGCTGCTCATGGAGCGAGTCCTCAAGCTCGACTAAAACGTCATCTAGAGGTCTGTAAGAAATGTACAAAATGATTGAAGATAAATAAATATATGTATACATATATACACACACACACCGTTGTCTGCATCTACAGCACATGTTTTAATACGAGTTACAAACAATCACAAGGCAGCCCTCTCGTGCCTGCTGCTGCCCTCTCTTCAAAAGTGACACCTCTGTATGGCTAAAAAAACCCTTTGTTTTTTTCCCCACTTTCTGTCCTGCATTGCCCTCACGTCACCTATCTCTCTCATCCCACCTCTGCATGCCCTTCTCCCCTCCATTTGCAGTCACCTCTCCTCTCTATGGCTGCAAGACCCTCTCCCGTTCCTCCCTCCCGTTACCTCACATCCACCGCATGCCACCCCATTGCACCCCCCCATCTTCCCCCCATACCCCACTTTCTCCCACCCACCAACAGTGACATCTCCTCCGTATGGCTGCAAGACCCCCTCCCGTTCCTCCCTCCAGAGTTCAACGCAGTTCTCCCCTCCTCTGTCCCCTCATCCTCCCAAGCACCACCATCCACGAGCAACAAAATAGACGGCAAACTCAAGCGCACCCTACCCATCTCTCGGTCCGACTTGGGTTATTTCTCTCCTTGGTTCGTCGCTCTTCGCCCCTCCCGGCCAATTCTCCTGATGCTGAAAGAATGGGCTCTTCTCGCGTTGGAAGATTTCCGGGAAAGGACAGCCGCGGCGCATAGGAACTCGCTCGCGCACTCGCTATCCGCTTCGGAGAGCTTAAAAGTGGGGCTGAATGAGGCTATAACGAGGATGGTAGAGGAGGGGGAGCCGGGGTCGAACGTTGGCGTTCTGTCGCGGTGGTTGTTTCCGCCGGTTTGGAAGGTTATGGGGGAGAGGGAGTGGTTTGCGAAGCATAGGGAGGAGGTTGTTGCTGTGCCGAATGATTGCGGGGATGATGTGAGCCATAGGGAGATGTGTTTCAGGGATTTGAAGCTGTGGGTGTAGTCGGAGGAATGGTTAGGTTACAAACAACTATTTCTATGTCTAGAACAAATCATATGAGTGAATTAAGAGAGTGGTGTACGGTATACTGTTGGCAGTTATTCAGTGTACGCAAGAGGGGGATAACCTCGGCGACAAAGGTTTCGCACGCTCGCGTAACCGGCTGTCAAACATGGTATATTTGCTCGTGGCGACAGTGTCGACTGCGAGCGAACTCCGTACTCGTTTTCGTCAATTTCCGGCCGAATGATGCTGCGGCTGTGTCGGGTTGAGAGCATCAAGCGGTAGGTAGGCTGGGGCGTGCGAAATTTGTTCTCCTTGTTACGGTGAGGTGCGATGTTATGCGTTTCGGAGCGTTTCGCTTACACTTTATTACGTTTTGGTAGGGTTTTGAGCAGAACAAGCTCCTGCACCACGTCACGTGTCTCCCCAAGATAGGCCTACAGTATCAGCCCAGCAGCAAATGCATGCCCAGTCCAGTGTCTCGATCAAATCCAACACCCACCGACTGGTCGCAGGTAGGACTCACGAATCGCGATGCGAGCTCCTCTCGGGGCGCTTACGAGAATTTTCCTAGGTGACTCACCAATTACGATTATCTCCGGGCAGCCTCAGCTATGGACAGCGTCTGAATGCGCTGTAGAGCTTAGGTCGCCTAGATTGGGGGTTTGCCAAGCCTAGATAGGTAATGAAGAAAAGAGCGTGTCTGCGCGCAGCGGCCTATCAGCAGCGCGTCTGAGTTGACTACTGAGTGCGACGCGTGGGCAGACTTAGATATGGAGGCGCGACTCCGATCAGCGGCCTATCAGCAGCGCGCCCGCCGCACCGTCGGCTGCGTTCTCCTCCTCTCCCTCCTCTCGCTCCTCCTCCTCGCGTCGTTCACCGCAAAAAGCGGCGCCGGCAGCGCGCGAGTGGTTCTTAAACTGGCTCCAAATCTCCTGCGCTTCGAGCGTGCCGCAAAGCGCCTCGGGAAGCCGTAGTACGGACGCCGGCGAGTCGGCAGACGGGGAATTGCGTGGGTTAGGAGCTGGAGGCGATGGAGGGCCGAGCGAGCGCCACGTGTACGGTGGTGATGGGTACGGGGGAGGGCGGCGGTGCGAGAGAGTGACTAAAGCGGGGATATGCGTCTCGGATTTCTTCGCCCTCGTTGATGACGTGTACCGGTACGTTGATGACGTGTACCCGTAGTTTGATGACGCGCATTTGCAGGTTGATGACGTTGATGTACCCTCCCTGTTCCCCACTCCCCGCCCCCTCCCTCCCTCCGCCCCCTCCGTCGTTTTCCGCAACCCTCCTTTCCGTATCAGCCCGGAAAAGTCGACCCCGTGGTTCATCAGAGCTTCCTTGTCACAATGCCCTTCCCGCTTCTTTCTCTACTTCGTTTCGCACCTTCCGTATCAGCCCCTTCTGGCCCGGAGAAGTTGACCTTGTGATTCGAAGCTACCTCTCGGAAAAGCTGTTTCTGCTCTACTCATTGCTGACGTCAGTGGAGCTGATGTGGCCGCGCGGGATTGGCCGCGTGGTAGTCGTGTTGGATGAGGGGGATGACGTGGCAATGCACCTCATGCCGCCCTGGGTGCAGGTGAGAATGGTTCTAAGCGGTGATGGTAGGTTGGTAGGTGGTCGTGGTTGTATGGAATGGTGAGGTGATGTGATTCTAATTTTGTAGTGATTGGAAAGTATCAAAAGACGTAACTATTATGCCGACTAGTACAGTACTGAATGTTGTAAGGTGTTCCTAGGTTACCTCTCTGAAAGGTGTTTTTTCCCCTATTGCTTGCATTGCACTCCTCTCAGGTGAAATACGAGCGCAACTACCTGAAACTTCCTGGAAAGATTCTCCAGCAGTGGAGCTATGGCTGGGTGGACAACTACACATCGGCGCCATTCGTCGCTATAGCAGATGATGACATCATCTTCAACCTCAAGGTGACGTCAGCTCCTGCCTGATGGTGACGTCATCTTCTGCCTCATAGTGACGTCATCGTTTGCCTCATGGTGACGTCATCTTTTGAGGATTCTCCAGCAGTGGAGCTACGGCTGGGACAACTACACATCGGCGCCCTTTGTTGCCATTGCAGATGATGACATCATCTTCCACCTCAAGGTGACGTCATCAACCTTAAAGTGACGTCATCAACCTCAAGGTGACGTCATCATCCACCTCTTCCCAACCCCTTGCCCGCCCGCTATCCCCACCTCACTCCGCCTCTCTCATCGAGGTCACTCCACCATTCCTGCTCTCTTCAACCTCTCACCCATCCCATCCCAACGCCCCTCCACTGATGGATGGGCATTCCCCAATCCTGCTGGGCACCTTCACGCCCGCTCGCTTCCCCTCTATCGACGCACTCACTCCCCTGCCTCCTCCTCCAGGTCACGCCGTTTCTCCTCTTCAACCTGTCAGACCCATCCCAGGGTCGGCCCTACCTGATAGGCAGTAGGGACCAGGGCTACCACCGCCCTTCCACCGGCTTTCTCCTGGGCATCTCCCCGCCCCTTCCCCTTGCTACTTCCGCGCCCCCTCCCCCTCTTGTTTGAAGAAGTGTTTGTGAGACGTCTCAAAACCCCTCCCCCTCTGCATCCTCCAGGTGACCGCATTCCTGCTCTTCAACCTCTCGGGATCAACCCACGGAAACCAATCTCCCATGGGCCGCCCCTACCTGATAGGCAGCAAGGACCAGGGCTACCACCGCCCCTCCACCGACTTTCGTCTGGGTCTCTTGCCCCCACCGCTTCCCTCCCACCTCCAGGTGACTCCGTTTCTCCTCTTCAACCTCTCGGGATCAGCCCAGGCAAACGCCACTTCACCCCACGGCCGCCCCTACCTGATGGGCAGCGAGGACCAGGGCTACCACCGCCCCTCCACGGTTTTCCTGCTCGGCCTCTCCCCCCAATCCACCCCTCACCCCACTTCCCACCCCAGGTGACCCCATTCCTGCTCTTCAACCTCTCAGAACCATCTCAGGACAGCCCTATTGGCCAGGCAAACCAATCTCCCATGGGCCGCCCGTACCTGATAGGCAGCAAGGACCAGGGCTACCACCGCCCCTCCACCGACTTTCTTTTGGGTCGCCGCGCCTATGCCGGCAACTTCATGGTTCAGCTGCCGCTGCTGCTGCCGCGGGGGGCCGTGCGGGGGTATAGAGAAGCGGTGGGTGCGGCTCATCCCAAGATGGCAGGGGGGTATGACGAGGCTGTGCAGTGGTGGGCGGAGCACGGCGGGCAGTACAGGTGAGAAATTGGGGTGACACTTTAATGAAAGTGAAACATGAAAGTGGAACTGCGCATAAAAACGCAGTATTTGGACATGCGACGTGGGAGCTGATGTTGGGGGAGGGGGTGGGGGGAGGGGGGGAGGGGGGGGAGGGGGGGTGGTATGTGGGGGATGGGGTGGGATGCGGTGGGATGGGTACTGGTGGTACATATAGTATTCATGCGTGTAACCATGCAGTGTCATTAGTCATAAGAAGCGTTGCGTTCCTTTTGAAATGCCACCCATGCTCTTCCTTTTTATGATCGCTGTGTGTGGTGCCGCTTGGTCCCTTGTGGTGCTGTGTGGTATCGTGTTGTGTGGTGTGGTGTGGTATGGTGTGCTGTGGTGTGGTGTGGTGTGGTGATGTGGTGCGGTGTGATTCGGTGTGGTGTTTCCTGTTGCCGTGCGGTGCTGTGCGGTGCACAGGGATCAGATTGCCCACACTGTGATGGGCAACTACCTGTGGAACAATGAGAAGGATAAGGTGAGAGTCAGAAGCGGTCAGTAAGTGCATTGAGTCCAAGCGAGATCCAGACATAGCTCAGTGAGCTGCGTGCATGGACAAACTGCTCTGCACTGGACTACTGTTTTGAGAAGGATAAGGTGAGAGTCAGAAGCGGTCAGTAAGTGCATTGAGTCCAAGACTGCGTTGAGGCCTGATTAGATTCGCTCTTCATCTTCCTTCTCTCACATTGAGTTCTTTCTGTGTTTCAGCAATGTGACTTTTGCGCGCCTCAAAAAAGGCCTTCGAAACAGTCAGAAGTGCATCGAGACCTGATTAGATTCGTTCTTCGTCCTTGTTCTCTCAAATTGTTCTCACGTAGAGTTTTTTCTGTGTTTCAGCAGACTGAAACACACAAGGACCGTGCAAACTGAATCACACAAGGACCGTGCAAACTGAATCACACAAGGACCGTGCAAACTGAATCACACAAGGACCGTGCAAACTGAATCACACAAGGACCGTGCAAACTGAATCACACAAGGACCGTGCAAACTGAATCACACAAGGACCGTGCAAACTGAATCACACAAGGACCGTGCATGTACCCATCATGTACGGGTGACTTTTGAGTCGTCTCAAAAGTCACCTGTACACGGTTCAAAGGGCCAATCACATGCCATACCGCGAGTGGGCAATCGGGCTAGAGGTATCCACACTCCGGGGGGCTCATTTGTATGATCTCCAACCCCTACCCATTGCTTCGTCCTCCTCCCCACCCTTTCAGATGGAATTCGCAATGGAGTGGAGCGACCATACGCCTATCCCGCGAGTGGGCGTGCATCTGCCCTACACCAACCTGTTCAAGGACCTAAAAGGGGGAGGAGAGTTTGCTTGCTGTCCTGACCCCTATCCATCCCCCTACCCCCTCCCTCGTCTTCAGATGGAATTCGCACTGGAGTGGACGGACCACACGCCCATCCCACGAGTGGGCGTGCATCTGCCCTACACACACCAACCTCCCTGCCCTGCCCTGTCCTGCCCTACCACTCCTCCTCCCTGTCATGTGTCATCCCTTTCAGATGGAATTTGCAATGGAGTGGACGGACCACACGCCCATCCCACGAGTGGGCGTGCATCTGCCCTACACCAACTCCTTCAAGCACCTGGGGGGCTCACCCGTTGACCCAGGCTCTCTTCAACTTAGGACCTTAGGGGGTTTTCTTGCTGATCTGACTGACCGCACTCCACCCCTCCTCGCTACCATGGCATCCCCTTCCCTGCTGTTCAGATGGAATTGGCATTAGAGTGGACGGACCACACGCCCATCCCACGAGTGGGCGTGCATCTGCCCTACACCAACCTCCTGAAGGACCTCGGGGGCTACCTACCTACCTTGCGTTCCTGACCCTCCTGTCCACCCTCCTCCCTGCCCTGCCCTGCACTCCTTTTCAGATGGAGTTTGCAATGGAGTGGACGGACCACACGCCCATCCCGCGAGTGGGCGTGCATCTGCCCTACACCAACCTGTTCAAGGACCTCGGGGGTTCTCCGGTTGACCCTGCCTCCAAGCTCAACCTCTCCTTTGTTCAGACGGCCGCTCACTACCAGCGAGAAACCATTTGCCACTCCCTGCCACCAGGTTCGTTCAATGAGACCAGGAAAAGGTATTAAGTTGCCTATGCCTAAGGAATGAGACCAGGTAATCTTGCGGTACTGCTGCTATCTCTCTAGCACTCTGCCATTCCCTTGCAATCTGCCATTCCCCAGCAATCTGTCTGCCCTACACTAACCTCTTCAAGGACCTCGGGGGCTCACCCGTTGACCCAGGCTCCAAGCTCAACCTCTCCTTTGTTCAGACGGCCGCGCACTACCAGAAAGAAACCATCTGCCACTCCCTGCCACCAGGTTCGTTCAATGAGACCAGGAAAAGGTATTAAGTTGCCTATGCTGCCATGGTACTCGTCTGTCGCCTCCACTGGTTAACCCAGGCTCCAAGCTCAACCTCTCCTTTGTGCAGAAGGCCGCGCACTACCAGAAAGAAACCATCTGCCACTCCCTGCCACCAGGTAATCTTGCTGCTGCTGCTGCTGCTGCTGCACCCTGCCACCAGGTATTTCTGCAGTGGTGCTGCTGCTGCACCGGTATCACTCTGCCATCACCTGTAGATCCAGGCTCGAAGCTCAACCTCTCCTTTGTTCAAATTGCCGCGCACTACCAGCAAGAAACCATCTGCCACTCCCTGCCACCAGGTAATCTTGCAGTGGTGCTGCTGCTGCCCCTTTAGCACTCTGAAATCACCTGTAGACCCACCCAGGCTCCAAGCTCAACCTCTCCTTTGTGCAGACGGCCTCGCACTACCAGAAAGAAACCATCTGCCACTCCCTGCCACCAGGTAACGCACACACACACGCACACACACACGCACACACACACACACACACAAACACACACACACACACACACACACATGCACACACACACACACACACGCACACACACTCTCTTTCATACATACATACATACATACATACATACATACATACATACATACATACATACATACATACATACATACATACATACATACATACGCACGCACGCACGCATGCACGCACGCACGCACGCACACACACACACACATGCACACTCACTCTTTCATACCTACATACATACATACATACATACATACATACATGCATGCATGCATTCATCCATCCATCCATCCATCCATCCATCCATCCATCCATCCATCCATCCATCCATCCATCCATCCATCCATCCATCCATCCATCCGTCCATCCATCCATCCATCCATCCATCCATCCATCCATCCATCCATCCATCCATCCATCCATCCATCCATCAATCCATCCATGCATGCATGTGTGCAGGTGAGCTGGCATGGTGTGAGGGGGGGCAGCCGCAGACACACATCCGGCGCTACGCATGGGACAGGCAGCACTGGAGGAAATCCCTTCTATCCTCCTACCATCCTTGTCCCTCTCTACCCACAATCCCACCCCTCCCCCCGCCCCTGTGTGCAGGTGAGCTGGCAGGGTGTGAGGGAGTGCAGCCACAGACACACATCTGGCAATACGCGTGGGACAGGCAGCGATGGAGGCAGCTCCTCTCCTCTTACCATCCTTGTATCTCTTTCCCTTTCCCCCCCTCGGCACCAGGTGAACTTGCAGGGTGTGAGGGAGTGCAGCCTCAGACACACATCTGACGATACGCATGGGACAGGCAGCGTTGGAGGCAGCTCCTCTCACCATCCTTGACCTTGTTCCTCTCTCCCCTTTTCTCCACCCACCTGGTACTACCGGTAGGTGAACTCCCGGGGTGTGAAGGAGTGCAGGCGCAGACACACATCTGACGATACGCATGGGACAGGCAGCGGTGGAGGCAGCTCTCTCACCATCCTTGTCTCTCTTTCCCTTTCTCCCCCTCGCCACCAGTTGAACTCGCAGGGTGTGAGGGAGCTCAGGCGCAGACGCACATCTGGCGCTACGCACGGGACAGGCAGCTCTGGAGTCACCGTGGGACAGGCAGCAGTGGAGGTAGCCTTTTCCTGAGTTGCACCTTCTCTCTGGTGACTCCTCCTCTCTCTCCTCTTCCTTGACCTTGGCCCTCTCTCCCCTTCCCTCCACCCACCTGCAAACAGGTGAACTCGCAGGGTGTGAGGGAGTGCAGGCGCAGACACACATCTGGCGATATGCATGAGACAGGCAGCGGTGGAGGCAGCTCCTTCTCTCCTCTCACCATCCTTGTCTCTCTATTCCTTGCCCTCCCCACCGGGTGTCAGGTGAGCTGGCAGGGTGTGAGGGAGTGCAGCCTCAAACACACATCTGGCAATACGCATGGGACAGGCAGCGGTGGAGGCAGCTCAGGAAAAGGGGCGCCGGCACACAAATATACGATAGGCACATTCGGGAGTTGCACTGTATTTACCGGAGCATGGCAAGCCACGTGGGTGATGGAGGAGTTGGGAGCGGTGGGGATGGGGAAGAGGATGGTGGGAAGGTGGTGTCAGTGGTAGGTGAGGCGAGGAAGCTGTTGGTGGAAAGTTTGCGTTCAGAGTGTATTGAGAGATGAGAAACGCGTATCATTTGACGTGGTTGGTTATCCATCATCTGTTTGTGCAAATGCTTGTTATATATTGGGCTGATAATCATATGCAACATGTGTATCACCTAATATTAATCCTCTCCTCACCTAGAATGCTCATGACATAGCAGCTTATCAATTATTTGTTTTGGATGGTGATTGCTATGATCCACCACCCATATTCTCTGTGCATTCTAAACTTTAAGATTACGATGTGATGCTAAAATGTATACGGGTCCAAAAATACCCGTATTGTTATGATGTTTGCCCTATCTTTTTTGGAGGAATGGAGAAAAGGACCTCCCCCAGGTGTTATGTACTGTAACTACATTGTGTTAACGATATTTGTATTGTTGGATAGCACTTTTATGTGGGACTGGGCGAGGGAATGAGTACGACATGGACGATGTGTGTTTGCATCCCTCATAAGGTAAGTGTTAATGTGTCATGGTCAAGTCCTCTTTATAAGTTGATGGGCCAGCACTACATTCTCTCTTCAAAAAAGTTGTGAGTTCCAACCCTGCGATTGGTTGAAGCTGCCGCTCCAAATCTGCCGCCAATGGGTTTCCTAACCCAGCATGGTTCACGCGTTAGCAAGCCAGCCTTCAAACAATAATTCTTTGTAACACGTCGTAACCCATTTTCGCTCAATCAGCTGCGATACTTTGCAGTGTGGCGAGAGTCGCCTGACATGTCTCCCCCATCGCTAGAGGAACCCCCCACACCGTCGTGAAGCGGTCCCGTTTCGGTTCTCGGGGATGATGGCGGGCTTCTTGTTCCCCCCAAATTTACGCCACGTCCGCTCATGACTCGTTCATCCGTGTTTGACGGGCCATTTGGCGTGGCGACCTGTCAAGGCAGCGGGCAAGATCTTGGGGGCGACATGTCCACGGGGGATTGATCCGCGGTCCGGCGGCAGCCAAACTGCATGCACAATCTCCAAATCTCTCCACCCCATCTACAGCTCCCTCGCACTCACCTCCCCTCGGCGTCGCGTCGCGTCGCATGTCCCTCCCTTGCAATTGACTTTTCAAAGTGCGCCCATTTCGGCCCCCTCTGCTTCTCGTTCTGTGGGCTTCTTGGTTACCTTTCCAATCCGACGCTCCGCTTCGACAGGACATCATGAGCAGTAGACCTTACAAAACCGCATCCAGTCATTTTCATCGCCCTTTACACGCATGCACTCTCGCACTTTTCCATTCCGACGTTTTCAAAGAACACCATTCTAGCTGCAAGTTCCTAGAGAAGGCTGGTCAACATCCGAAACACAAATCAACGTGGAGGGATCAAGTCAGAAACGTGTCCCAAATCAACTGACTGTTTCTCGCACTCGTCGAAGCAGTCAGGGCAAGTGATATCATCACAGCTAGTGTGATCTGCTATCACTTTCGCCTCTCTTCCTCCCGCCTGTCTTAGGGCCTGCCGTACCCTAGACATGGCAATCCGTCAAGCTCACGCAGAGGAGGATGACAGTACAGACCTGTTTGAGCTTGATCTGTCTCAAGTGGACCTAAAGAAAGACGCGAAACGCGAGAAACCAGCGACCTCTAGCTCCACTAGCCGACTTTTCGCCCCGACGAAATCCTCCCTCGCGAAGACCCTCGCGAAAGGGCGAAGCGGCGGCGATGTTACCAACGGGCACGAAAAGCCGCGATCAGCATCCGAGAGAATGACTCTGGAGAGACGTCCCGCAGCCAACCACTCCAAGTTCTCTTCCCCTTCCCCTTCCACCTGCGCCTCCCCGCACGCTTCCCCACCCGCATCCCCCCGTGCTGCAACCGGCCGGCGCCGCTCCGACGTCTCGGAGAACCTCGCGCTCCGCTTGAGCCGGCAGCAGGACGGCAAAGGAACCCCTGCTAGCTCCCCGCCAGTCTCGCCGCGATGGTCGGTGATTAGCTCTGAGCCACGGTCGCCGCGATCGCCGCGCTTGGCGGTTACCGGAGCGAAGAGGCAGCCTCTTGTCCAGAACGCGGCTAGCCACCGTGGCCCCTCTTCCCTGAGCAAGGCTGGCACTGGCGTGAGCGGCGGCGGCGGAGGCGGCGGAGGCGGTGGCGGTAGGGCTAAGGTTGCAGAGGCGGTTGATTCGAGCACCAGTAATACTCGTCACCGTGGCGAACACACGCGCGAGCATGCGACGCGGGGGGACGCGAAGGGCGGGCGCGGCGGAGTGGGAGCACGGAACTCGTGTGGCACAGCTGCAAGCGGGAGCGGGAGTGCCGCTTGTGGAAATTCTGGGGGTGGGGGTGGCCCGCGCTCGCCGCGGCAAGACAGCGGACGACAGGAGAATCGATTTAAGGGCCATGATGCGGGTGACGCGGAGAGGGAGCTGCGAGCGAAGAAGGCGGAGATACCAGTGGGTGGTTATGGTCCTGGTCGTGCGGATTCAGATGCGAGATTATTGTCCAAGGTGAGCAGGACGAGATTGAAGTCTCAAGCTATGAATGCCGTTTTTTTGGGGTTCACTGATCACTAAATACAAGTATAATTTCCCTGCCCGTCACTCGTTTTACCAACGTACTGAATCGTTAATTAATTTCTGCGTTGCCATTCCGTACCCACAGCCTGCACTAGCCTCCTCTGGTGAGCGACCGCTGCCGACGCATCATGTCGATGAATTTGAGTCAGACGCGGGCCATCATACGCCGGCGAAGGACATGTCGCAGCTGTCGCACATGGGCGTGCGACGAGAGGAGGGCAGCCCGGTCTCGGTGCTAGATGTGGGCTTGCGACGAAGCGACGAGAGCGACTCCGAAGGCAACAGTGGCGAGTTATTTGCAGGTGGGTGGTGAGATGCTTTTGTAATTTGACAAAAGCAGTTTGGTTTAGAATTGTGAATTTCAAGCTCTACCAGGTGTTACTATTTGTTCTAAGACGGGTTCTTCAAACAAACAGAAGTGTTTCTGAATATATCGTTTCGGTTGTCACACGTCATCGTCGTCTAACGATTTCCCTTTTTTTATCGTCTATTTTCCCCTTTCAAATCAGATCGCTCCGTCAATTCCGTCGCAGACTGCTACCCAGACGCGACCGTCGTGCGACAGTCGTCGCACGCATCGCTCGCATCGCCCAGCCAGCATGGCGACGTCTCCATGGACCTCCTCCGCCTGTCGCCGCAAGACATCGTCGGTGACGTGGCAGGCATGGAGCAGGACCTCGAGTACGTGCGCCACGTGCTCCTCATCTCCGGATTTGGCGGGCCGTCATTACCGCCGATCTTCTCGCGGAACCTTCCGATAAACCCGGTGGTTTTCGAGCAGCTGGAGTTTGAGATTACGGGACAGCTGTCCCAGCACTTTCCGTCCTCGTTATCCGCGTCCTCGTTATTGAGTACAAGCCCGTCGATGATAGGCCTAACAAGCCCAGTTGCTTCTTCCAACGTCGGAGCAGCAACAGGCGCGTCTGCTGGTGGAGTTGGCGCGGGGGTTTCGCGGCCGCCGTCTCCCTCACTCTTTCCGCTCCCTAGCTTCGCGGTCGGCGCGCAGAACACGTCGGAGGAGCGCCGCCAGCGCATGCTGCTCTTTGACGCGGTCAACGAAGCGCTGGGTCGCACGCTCGCGCCTTACCTGGAAGAGCTTCAAGCGCAAGATGAGATCAAGCGAGCCGCGAATAACCGCTGCTCGGGTCGCCCGTCGCAGCTATTCGCGGATACTACTGATACTGGGAGTGGAAGTGATAACGACTTCGGCCTGTGGGAGTTGGATAACGGTGCATCTTTTTTCGCGTCGTGCTGTTCCGCCTCGCGCAAGCCCGCGCTTCTCCGCCCGCGCCCCATCGGCCGCCAGCTGCTGCAGCGCGTGTGGGCGGAGGTGCACAGCTGGCCGGTTGCGCCGTCGGATGACGTGTACGACATTCTCGATGACGCGGCGAGGAGGGATATGGTGCGCGGAACGGAGCGCTGGTCCGCGGAAGAAGTGGCAGCTGCGGAGGTTCCGCAGGTGGTGTTTGCGCTGGAATGCGCGGTGTTAGAGCGCGCGCTGGAGGAGATTTGCCGCGAATTTGCGGAAGTGGAGGAAGAGCGCGCACTGTCGCGGCAGCGGAGGCTGAGCGCGAATGGCGCCGCGGAGGGGGTGTGCGCGGGGAAAGCTCCAGGGGGAGGGCTGCGGAAAGGGGGGAGCGGAACCGAGAGACGGTGGCTGCCTCGACGGTTGAATTTCTGACTGTAACGGGTACAATCAGGAGGAAATATGAAACCGTCCGTTCGAGTGAAATTGCACTGCCAAGTTAGAGATAGTAGATAAAGCACACCCAAATTGATTTAGCTAGTATGAGGTGGGAGGTTGTAGAGGTCTTTGGTGCAGGTTGGGTAGTGGATGAAGCACACCCAAATGACAATTTAAGTAGGTTCGTACACGATGCAGCCTTCTACGGGGCTTATTGTATTTTAGGGGTCATAAAAATGTTAATTCTCTTTGGTTACTCATAGATGCATACCTACAAACACTTCTCTACCTCCATGCATAACACAATACATAAGAATGTTTCTACGTAATGAGCATTCTGAAGGGGGGATAATTATCAATTGATATGCTTATAGACTATCTAAACAAGCATTTGCACAAACAAATGATAGTTAGCAGTTATTTCGTACAATCCTGATCAAACTCATAGTACTGGCGAGGTTTTAGTGAACATAATCGGCCAACTTCACTGATACTCTATGCCATGAGCGCTTTGCAACGGTACTCAACCTCGATTTCGCATTGCTGATTGGTTGTCGATTTTCAATCACATCGCTGATTGGATCTCGCTATTTTATCACGATTTTCACGCTAAAAACACATCCGCAATGTCACGAAACAGAGCGCAGTTACCGAACAACTAAATCATGGAATAGTCAACCCTTTACAAAGAAAATTTGTATCAAGCACAAATTTTGTTACGATAATAAGAATCGAATTGGGGAAAACTATGTAATTTAGGATCAGCTCAACTGAATGGGGTCTAGGACACCGTCAAGCCTCCGTCGACAGTGGACCTGCTAACCTCGGACATGGGGGCTCAAATTTATTTTTGTGTGCCCTCACGTTGGAGCACTATTCCGTAAAAGAACAACAAAAATAAAACTTTTTGGGTGATGATCAACCCTAAACAATGGATGGCTTTCCTTGTTTAGGGTTGATTTTCCCAAATCGTGTCATGTTTATATAAGGGTTTTAGTTTTGTAATTGTTTTGTCTTCAGGGGTAAGTGCAGGAAAGTATCTGGTGGTGTCTTTGATTCAGAATTGTGCTTTTAATATGATGAAACAATACACGTACGTGCTATACCGAGAATTTGTCGGTTGAGTACGATTGCAAAGCGCTCCTGGCATAATTTGAGTATCAATGAAGTTGGCCGGAACATAATCCTAATCTCCAACTACCACCATGTTTTGCAGCCATTTCATTGGACGTCGAAATTTTTACCGTAGAATATTCGCGGCAACGGTGCTTTCATATCGCTGGCCCTCAAATCTAGAATCTCACACGTGCGACAGTCAAGAGACTATTCCCGTAATCCACGTCCCTAGTTCCCAACGAACGCCTGACTTATCTCCCGTGCTGTCCAGCGTGGCAGATCTTGACCGGGGTGCACGTTCTATGGCGAGGCGATTATGCTGAGGTGTTCTTGACGGATGCAATGGTCTCGTCGCCTCACAGCCAGTAAAATCGGAGGGGTAACAATTTTTTCAACAAACTTCGAACCATTGTTGTGTGCAGTGCATCTGTAGGGGTAAGAGCGCGGAACGACGGGCGAACTGCTCACCCAACAGGCATTAGTTCCTTGACAATAAAGCGCAGTGTCCATGTTTAGGCACGCGATCATGTTTTTATTTGAGGACCTTAATGGGGCCGACATCCGGAATCGCTACCCCCAAAAGAAAACCTTATGCAACGTCAAGATGGCTGAATGATTGAGCGATTCGGCGCGCCGGCGTTGGCAGTCCTCAACAACCCACCCAACTCTCTGCTTGGCTCTTGTTCCCCACACTGCTCCACTCAGCTCTCGTTCCCGCTACTATTTAATCCGCTCTCCGAAGTTTGAAGCTCATTCTCATTAGAAACCTCAGCAGTCTTTCCTTTCCAGCCATCTTTGCGTACCAGTAAGCTGCTTCTCGTTCCATTCTCCATCAGCGGCCTGTTAGTTTCATTTCTTCCCGTACTCCACCAGCGGCGCTTCAATTCTTCCCATACTCCGTCCGCGGCCTCCCTTTGACGATGGCTCAAAGCTTGACGGGTTCGGAGTTCAAGACCCGCGTGCTGGAAAGCGAGCGTCCAGCCCTGGTCTGCATCTCCGCCGCGTGGTCGAGCCCATGCAGAAGAATGCTCCAAATCTACGAAAACATCGCTGAGAAGAACTCGGAAAAGTTCACCTTTTACAAGCTGGACAGCGATGCGAACCCCCAGACGAACCAGGAGTGTGGAATTTTCAGCTTGCCGGCTTTCTTGGTCTTCAAAGAAGGGCAGAAAGTGGGCGAGTTGGTTGGCATTACACGTCCGAACGCCCTCGAACAATTTGTAGAGAGAATTTCTCTCGCCGTGTGAAGCATCGCGGGGACCCTATCATGCTCGCTGCATGTCAGTTTTGTGAAATCGTGTCAGGCATCCTGTGCTCTTATCATGCTCGTTGCATGTCAATTTTGTGGAATAAAATGACACGTTTTCAGTTACCTGCTGTGTTTGCCATCAGACTCTGTCGTCGGACGTCAGACATTCAAGGTTGTGTATGCGGCCATGAGTAATAATTTGCGAAGCAGGGAAGCTCGACTTCCGGGAACAATTTACACGGTGTGAAAAAAGTTCTTGCTCCAACGTTTCTACTATTGACGTTTTTATCATCGTCAGCATGCATACCCTGGACATATGGTAGCGTATTTGGAAGACTTTCCAGACTATGTGGCTGGCTGGAGGAACGGAAAGGACACTTTCAAGCTTCGCCTTCCTCATCTCATCCCGTAGCTTCCAAAGAACGCTGTCGAACACTGTTGCGATCAAGCTTTGTATTGTAACGCCTGTGGGCTGAGTGTTAATGGGCATTCCGCTGCGCCAAATAACACCCTCGTTTTGACCCAGTGGGTAGCGAGGTGTTATATGTATCCTCTCAGAGAAGTATCAAAAGGTGGAAACTCCGAAACTAGCGAGTCGCGCTGACGATGCTGTCGCAATCTGCACAGACTGAGAAATTCTGAATCAACATTGTGATAAAGCCCAAAACCCTCCACCAAGTCGGCCGCGAGATACAAGCATGTCACACTTCAAACGCCACTTTGAGACCCTCCCTCCAATTGCCGCAAGCCACCTTTATCCCCCACGTCATCTCTCAAATTGCTTGCCACATTTCGGTCGTATAATCTCAATGTCCCTCCCTTCCCTCCCCCCTCTACCTCCTGTTGGTCCCGCCGCACTCGCTCACTCGAAGCTCGCGTCGCTCCAAGCGTCCCTTGCTGGCACGCTCACCCCGTCGGTCGCGCCGCTAACGTTGATCCCCTTTTTCTCGGTTCCGCCGCTACCATCGCTCTCTCATGTCGCTCTTGTCTCGCCTGGTTCGCCTCTCTCCTCTGACTCCCGTTGATTCCGTCGCTTTCTCTTCCCTCATCTCTCCTCTCAATTCCGTCGCTTCCGTCACTCCTGCGCTCTCTTATTGGCTTCACCTCCCGTCTCAAATTTGTTATGACTTGGTTCCTCGAAATAATAACATCGGAAGGCATCTTTGAGGATAATGGACTGGACAACCCAGAAATGCCGCATACCTGGAAAGCAACGCTAGAGTTGCCAGAGCGCGTTGGGAAACAAGGATGGCAAGCAACGCGGCGGTCATCAATTCAGGTGAACTGGGAGTATTTCTTTGCCTGACGAAATATGTTACTGGCGGACCAGCGAGTGCTCGACATTTTTGTAAAGGCTCGCCTAGCCGAATTACTCGTTCCGTGGTGGCGAACGAAATTTCGCCCAGCAGATGGAAAGGCAGAAGGCGAATATTCTTTTGGGAAAAATAATCGATTTGGCAGCATGGCCGTGGACCGCGAGTACTTACGAAACAGGTCGGTACGTTGTAACACCTCGATCGAACGAAGCACGGTTGAACGACCCATGTGAGCAGGATTCGTGGACACCACCGTCAGGGCGAAGCCCCTGCCTCGCATTTCCTGACACCAACAGTGTGCGGTAGTTTGCTAACTGTGTTACAGTCGTTCGCGACAAATGCGGTTCATTTTAACCAACCAATAATCGTTCAAGGCACCCTCTCACAAAAAACGTTCACTCCCCAGTCGCCCATGACACCAAGAGTGCTTCACCCATACCCCGCACAGAATTTCGCGCATGTGCGACTGCATGCGAACGCATAGCACGAATCCTTTCGCGAATCGCTCCATTCTGCCTGCCCAACCACGGGGAGGCTGCTTCCTGTTGGCTGCTCTATGTACCAACGGAAGCCAGAATGGAAGCTACGGACTAGATGCTTTTGCGAGAGAATGACTCCAGTGGCCAATAAGGTGATTCACCATCCCTCGCGTGGCCACGAATGACTCGAGTGGCCACCAAATTTGGTGATAATGACTCGAGTGGCCACGCCAGGGGATTCTTGCTGGATTTTTTTCTTTAGCGCATTACCCTACGGGGCTTTGTAGCCACGAAATTCCCCATTCGTGCGAGTGGTATCCTTAGGTAGTGTTCCGTTCTGTTCCGCACCCGAAAATTTCGCCCACACACTGTACACAAAACCGTAAAAAATGCACGACCAACAGTAGTTGCACGGTCATTTTCGGCCCAATGCCCGACCAATGAGCGCGCGGTAAAAATATCAGCGATCATAAACTGCTCTGCGGGGGCATAAATGCGCGAACACATTAGTGACCGCGGGCAAGAAAAAAACTAAAACCCACTCGGAAGGCATGCCATCCGAGGGAGCCTCAACCCTAAAATTTTAGGGTTGAGGCTCCCGAATGGCATGCCGTAAGCCATGGGGTTTATTTTTTTATCACCTTAGGGTAATGCGCCGTGAAAAAAAAGCCAGCAAGAATCCCCTGGCGTGGCCACTCGAGTCATTATCACCAAATTTGGTGGCCACTCGAGTCATTCGTGGCCACGCGAGGGATGGTGAATCACCGTTTTGGCCACTGGAGTCATTCTCTCTGCTTTTGCCTCCGCTTTCGCTTTTGCATGCCGACTCTTGGGGCGGCAATACTTCTTGACGCCATACCTCGGCGTCTCTTTGAACCACTTCCAATGCTCCCAGCTTCAAATGTTCCCAGCCTCTCTCGATGCATCCCTTCCCGCTGCACCTTCAATGTAACGCCTTTGAAGGGTCATAGCGCATCCGCTGCACCTCAAATGTAACCGTCGTTTCGACCCAATGGGTAGCGGGGGGTTCTACAGTATCCGCTCTGCGCGGAGCCCGTTCTTTATATCGGTCTCAACCTCCGCATTTCAATAGCAATTATCACCTCAAAAGCGTCATTCGTTTAGTAGCTTCATTCACTTCCTTACGCGGTAAGCAGGTTCCTTGGTGACAATGGTCACAAGGTTGACGGATTCGAATTTCGGTATCGTTTTCGAGTGTAGGCGTCCAGCCCTGGTATTCTTCTATAAAAAATCCGACAACTCTTGCGTGAAGATGCTTTCTATGCTCGAAAGCCTCGCGGATGAGCACACGCATCTAGCCTTCTTCAACCTGGATATTGACGAGAACCCTAATAATTGCGCGGAGAATTTTGTCTACCAGCCGACTTTTGTGTTATTCGACAGGTGGCAGTCAGTTGGCAGGTTTGCTGGCATTGATGATATGGTGGGTCTCAGGAGATTCGTTACGGAGCGCTTCCGCGTGAAGTGATGGGTACTTGCTTTCCTGTCTTGTCCGTTGAATGCTTGTCTATGAAATTCCTTGATGAATCTCAATCTCACTAGGATCAGTTCCAGCGCTGATTGTTGACACCAGTTTCAGTTTCAACACCAGCCAACCAACCAGATATCCACGCCGTGTCTGTGAGGTGCAACAGAAAGCATGAAATTCATTATATGAGAGACGTGGGCTGGGCAGAAAGCATTTTCTTGCTTTCAACTTCCAACTACATCATGCCTGTTTCCTAGTGTCAATCTGCCATGAAACTCAATTAATGAATATCAGCAGGGCGCTCCCTTCACCTGTTCTCACTGATGTGACCTCCAATCATCCGAGTCCGGTTATGAGAGAACCGACCCTTTGGAAACCACACATTCTTCAGAGCAGCTCGGGGCTGACTCCCTCAACAGGCCCCTCCCTCCCTCCCTCTCCCCCTCCATGCTGTTGTGAGCATCAGCTTCTGCATTCTTCCGAAAAACAGAGCTCCTCTGAGAGAACCGACCCTTCAGAAACAACAGATCCTTCGGAGAAGTTATAATTTGAGCCGTTGCGAGCATCAGCTAAGCTCCTGCATTCTTCCAAAAAGCTCGGCTCATCTGACAGAACCGACCCTTCAGAGACAACAGATCCTTCGGAGAAGTTATAATTTGAGCCGTTGCGAGCATCAGCTAAGCTCCTGCATTCTTCCAAAAAGCTCGGCTCATCTGACAGAACCGACCCTTCAGAGACAACAGATCCTTCAGAGAAACTTGACGACTCCCTCAGCAGGTTCCTTCTCTCCCTCCCCCTTCCATGCCGTTGCAAGCATCAGCTCCTGCATTCCTCTGAAAAACTCGACTCCTCTGAGAGAACCGATCCTTCCGAGACAACAGATCCTTCGGAGAAGTTCTAATTTGAGCCGTTGCGAGCATCGGCTCAGCTCCTGCATTCTTCCGAAAAGCTCGACTCATCTGACAGAACCGACCCTTCGGAGACAACAGATCCTTCAGAGAAGCTCGCCGATGTTTCAGAGAAGCTGGACGATTCTCTCTGCAAGCTCCTCCCGGCCTCCCCCTTCCATGCCGTTGCGAGCATCAGCTCCTGCATTCGTGGGTGGTGTATTCTCGAATCCGGTAACCGCTCTGGATGCGGTAACACCACAAGGCCGATCGACGGGACTTCTTGAGAAAACTTTTGGGACGTCAATCCAGTCACCTGACCGGTTTTGGAGCCCTGTATGGGGTTTGAGTGGGATTCTCTGCTCCCCTGTGCAAGATGCGCCCCCCCCTCCTCCGCCCTTCTTGTCCCCTCTTTAAGCTCGCCCACTCTATGATTATCAATACTCTGCTTCCTCAATAATCTTTTCTCACCATCTCGCTCATCCTCCTCTTCCTCCTCGTCCGTTTCCTCATCCTCTGACCCAACCACGATACTGAGTAACGGAATGTCCTCCCTCCCACTCTCCTCCCCCTTTGCCAAGCCTGCTTCTCTCCTTCCTCGCTCCGCTTTCCTTCCAGTCACCACTGCTCCTCCCCCACCCCCTCCCCCTCCCCCCCTTGCTCCTGCAGCACTCGCCTGCACGGCAGTAGCATGGCCGTACATGACCATTCCTGTGACTGCTATACACATACCGAGGATGGCTTTAAGGGAGATAGCAGAGTCAAAAAGGAGCACTCCCAGCACGAGCACTAGCACGGTCTTCATGTGGCCTAACACCTGGTAAGGAGAGGCAGAACAAGAACATGAGCATGAGAATAAGCATAAGCAGGGGCAAGAGCAAGAGCAGCACTCCCAGGAGCAGCACTCCCAGCACGAGCACTAGCACAGTCTTCATGTGGCCCAGCACCTGGTAAGAAAAAGCAAATGCAAGGGTGAGTTTTGAGCTGACTTGGGAAAACACTCCCAGCACGGGCACGTGCACGAGCATGGGCAAGAGCACTAGCACAGTCTTCATGTGGCCTAACACCTGGTAAGGAGAGGCAGAACAAGAACATGAGCATGAGAATAAGCATAAGCAGGGGCAAGAGCAAGAGCAGCACTCCCAGCACGAGCACTAGCACAGTCTTCATGTGGCCCAGCACCTGGTAAGAAAAAGCAAATGCAAGGGTGAGTTTTGAGCTGACTTGGGAAAACACTCCCAGCACGGGCACGTGCACGAGCATGGGCAAGAGCACAAGCACAGTCTTCATGTGGCCTAACACCTGGTAAGGAGAGGCAGAACAAGAACATGAGCATGAGAATAAGCATAAGCAGGGGCAAGAGCAAGAGCAGCACTCCCAGCACGAGCACTAGCACAGTCTTCATGTGGCCTAACACCTGGTGGGAAGAAACATGGGACCAAGCAGAGCAAGAACATGAGCATAAGCATAAGCACGGGAGAGAGCAAGAGCAGAAGCACTCCCATCCCAGCACCAGCACGAGCACTAGCACAGTCTTCAAGTGGCCCAGCACCTGGTGGGAAGCAGCAGAGCAGGAGCATGGGCATGAGAATAGGCATAAGCATGAGCAAGAGAAAGAGAAAGAGCAGAAGCACTCCCAGCACGAGCACTAGTACAGTCTTCATGTGGCCTAACACCTGGTAAGAAAAAGCACAGGCACGAGTGTGGCAAGAGCACAGGCATAAGCACGAGCAAGGCATGAGCTGAGTCAAATAGGAGCACTCCCAGCACGAGCACTAGCACAGTCTTCATGTGGCCTAACACCTGGTAAGAAAAAGCAAATGCAAGGGTGAGTTTTGAGCTGACTTGGGAAAACACTCCCAGCACGGGCACAAGCACGAGCATGGGCACAAACACAAGCATGGGCAAAAGCACTAGCACAGTCCTCATGTGGCCTAACACCTGGTAAGGAGAGGCGGAAGTAGAGCAACAGCATGCAACGCAAGAGCATAAAGTAGAGTACGACAAGAGCAACAGCACCAGCACGAGCAAAAGTCAGAACGAGCATGAGCAAGAGCAAGAGCACGAGCAAGAGCATCAGAATGAGCATCAGAATGAGCATGAGCAACACCATGCACACTAGCACAGTCTTCATGTGGCCCAGCACCTGGTAAGTCGAGGCGGAGAATTTCCCGATGCAGAGGAAGGCGCTGAGATTGCAGACCACGGCTAGGCAGCAGGAGAGAGTTATGAAGACCTGACATGGGAAATAGATAATGGAAAAGGGGGAAGTTAGAACACAGAAAGTAGGAATGAGGCCGTGTGGCGGTAGAATGAGGGGAGATTTGCCGATGCAGAGGTAGGCGCTGAGGTTGCAGACCACAGCCAGGCAGCAGGAGAGAGTTATGAAGACCTGAGATGGGAAAGGGAAAAAAAAGAAAAGAAAAGAAGGAAAAAAATCATGTTGTTATGCGGATGTTGGTCAACGAGGGAGCGAGAGTTGACGGCGAGGTTGAGCAAAGGACCGTTGAGGAGCGAGCAGCGAGCAGCAAAGGAGGAGCTTGAATATGTTCACTCGAAAGCAGTGTTAGCCAACACACAATGGCGTAGGGCTGGTAGTGGTAGTCAAGAAGAAAGCAGGAGGTGAGGAGGAGGTCGAGGGAGAGGGAGAGGGAGGAGGCGTAGTGACCAAGAGCAGGATTTCTCTAGCTAAAGTTAACTCACAATGGCGTAGGGCTGGTAGTGGTAGTCGAGGAGGGAACGGGAGGTGAGGAGGAGGTCGAGGGAGGGACCGATGAGCAGCAGCATGAAGGCCTGGAGAGGTGCTGATTGGCTGAGGAGATCGAACGAGCCAATGGCGTATCTTTCTTGTAGCAGACCAATCAGCTGACAGCATGGGGAGAAGGAGAGTATGGGGATGAGAGTATGGGGGGAAAGGATTGTGATGTTAGAAGGAAGGAAGGAGTAGCATGAAGGCCTGGAGAGGTGCTGATTGGCTGAGGAGATCGAAGGAGCCAATGGCGTATCGTTCCTGGAGTAGACCAATCAGCTGAGAGCACTGGGAGAAAGGGGGAATGGGAAGGAGAGTATGGGAAGAAAGAACTGCAAATAAAAGCAAAGGCGTCGTACCATCATATGCATGGCGGAGCAGAGGACAGCGAAGGCAGCCACAGCTAGTCCCAGTGGATTCACGTGGATCTCAGAGACAGTGCAGAGAGCGACACCCAGCATGACCACTGCCACGGCTGCTTTCACCCGCTAAGAAGGAACGGTATCAGCATACGCACAGCACTGTACCACCACATGCAAGGCAGCGTACCATCATGTGCATAGCAGAGCAGAGCACGGCAAAGGCAGCAACAGCCAGCCCCAGGGGATTCACGTGGATCTCCGAGACAGAGTGCAGAGAGCCACGCCCAGCATCACCACCGCCACGGCTGCTTTCACCCGCGGGGTGAACACAGAACAGTGCAGAGAGTAGCCACGCCCAGCAATTTCTGAGTTTCGTCGAAATCATTTATTGAAACGTACCATCATGTGCATCGCGGAGCAGAGCACGGCAAAAGCGGCCACTGCCAGTCCCAGCGGGTTGACATGGATCTCCGAGACAGTGCAGAGGGCGACGCCCAGCATGACGACGGCGACGGCTGCTTTCACCCGCGGGGTGAAGGTGCGACCCTTGAAGACTGCCTCGAAGAAACAGACGGTCGGGATGATGCTGACCTTGGAGATCTACGGACGAGATTGGCCGGGGAGATTAAGAGGGGTGGAAAGGGGTGAAGGTGCGACCCTTGAAGACTGCCTCGAAGAAACAGACGGTCGGGATGATGCTGACCTTGGAGATCTACGGGTGAGATCGGCCGGGGAGATTGAGAGGGGTGGAAAGGGGTGAACGTGCGACCCTTGAAGACTGCCTCGAAGAAACAGACTGTCGGGATGATGCTGACCTTGGAGATCTACGGGTGAGATCGGCCGGGGAGATTGAGAGGGGTGGAAAGGGGTGAACGTGCGACCCTTGAAGACTGCCTCAAAGAAACAGACGGTCGGGATGATGCTGACCTTAAAGATCTACGGACGAGATTTACCGGGGAGTCGGGGCGGGGTGGAGGGGGGGGAAACAGGGGGAAACAGGGGGAAACAGGGGGGGAGCAGGGGGAGAATAGAGGGGAAGCAGGGGGGGGGGAATAGGAGAGGATGAGAGAGGGATGTGAGAGAGAGAGGGAGAGTGCAGAGAGCGACGCCCAGCATGACGACTGCGACGGCTGCTTTCACCCGCGGGGTGAACGATAGCCCCTAGAAGACTGCCTCGAAGAAACAGACGGTCGGGATGATGCTGACCTTGGAGATCTACGGGTGAGATCGGCCGGGGAGACGGGGAGATTGAGAGGGGTGGAAAGGGGTGAACGTGCGACCCTTGAAGAATGCCTCGAAGAAACAGACGGTCGGGATGATGCTGACCTTGGAGATCTACGGGTGAGATCGGCCGGGGAGTCGAGGCAGGGTGGAAGTGGGGAAACAGGGGAAAAACACGGGGGAAAAAGGGGGGAAACAGGGGGGAAACAGGGGGGAAGCAGGGAATAGAGGGGAAGCAGGGGGGGGGGGGGGGGATAGGAGAGGATGAGAGAGGGATGTGAGAGAGAGAGGGAGAGTGCAGAGAGCGACGCCCAGCATGACGACTGCGACGGCTGCTTTCACCCGCGGGGTGAACGTTCGACCCTTGAAGACTGCCTCGAAGAAACAGACAGTCGGGATGATGCTGACCTTGGAGACCTACTGGTGCGATCGGCCGGGCAGTGGGGGCGGGGTGGAAAGGGGAAAAAGGTGGGGGGATATGGGGGAGGCAGGGAAGGAGGGGAGAATGCGGGGGAGAAGAAAAGGGGGCGGGGAATTAGGGGGGGGATGGAAGAATAAGAGAGGGATGAGGTTTGAGACGTCTCAAACGCCCGCACGCACACACCCAGCATCAGTAGTACAACACATTAGGCAGCTGAAAAATGTGCAAGGGCACAGACTGAGAGGTTGATGGAGAGAGAAGGGGAAGGGAGAACGGAAGGGGGGCACCTGGTAAAACCCGACGGAGTTGAGAAGTAGCGAGAGGTTGGTGGCGACGAGGCTGGCGTTGCCCAGCAGAGCGAAGCCCAGCAGCACCCCGAAGGGCACGGAGAGCTGCCTGGGGACCAGCCCCGCGCAGGCTGATGCGACCCCCGTTAGGGCTGTTAGCGCGAAGTGCATTCCCGTTAGGGTGGATACTGGGAGCGTGGGCAGGGAGAAGTGGAAGGGGAAGGGGAGAGGAGAAGGGGAATTGGAAGGTGAGAAGCCCAGCAGCTCCCCCAGGGGCACGCTGAGCTGCCTGGGGACCAGCCCCGCGCAGGCTGATGCGACTCCTGTGAGGGCTGTTAGCGCGAAGTGCATTCCCGTTAAGGTGGAGACTGGGAGGCAGAGAATACGGGGGAAGAGGAGAAATTGAATGAGGAAGTGAGAAGCCTTGCAGAGAAAAGCCCAATGGAGCAAAGCCCAGCAGCAGCGGCCCAGTAGCACGAGAGGAGCCCAGCAGCTCCCCCAGGGGCACGCTGAGCTGCCTGGGGACCAGCCCCGCGCACGCTGATGCGACCCCTGTTAAGGCTGTTAGCGCGAAGTGCATTCCCGTTAGCGTTGAGACTTGGGGATGGGAAGGGAATGGGGGGATGGGAGGGGGGAAGAAAGGGGTATGATTGGGTGAGAAGCCCAGCAGCACGGGCAGGGGCACGGAGAGCTGCCTGGGGACCAGCCCTGCGCAGGCTGAGGCGACACCTGTTAGAGCTGTTAGCGCGAAGTTGACCATGATGATCCCCACCGACCTCATGAGCCGCTCTAACCATGTGCAGCAGACAATTATGCATGTTTTACAGGATAACGAAGGACTACTTACCGAATACAAAGCCGTATCCGGACATGACTTGCTTGTTCACCATGATAATCCCCACCGATCCCACCACGTTCATCGACCAAATGCCCACCGTCGCCGCACATGACGGCGGCTCTCGCGCTGCTGCTGCCGTTGTCTCACGCGCTTCGGCCTTTTCGGTCGACGCAGCTGCTGCTGTCGGTTTTAAGTCGGACCCGAATCTAGACGTTAACTCGTCATGGTTCGACTCGAATGCCGCCGAGAACGTCGGCGACGGCGACGACTCGCGAAACTGTTGGTTTTGTGGTAACTCGAACGACGAAAACGACGATCTTTCGTATGCCTGTTGCTGTTGCTGCTCTAATGGCGACATATCGCACGAACTCCGCACTTGAGAGAACGTACCGCGCCCAATTAGTACGCGAAATGATGTACTACCTGCCCTAATATCTCAGGTACAGCTGAAACCCTTCCTACTTCTAGCGAGAATGTTATGACCTAGTAGCGGCTTGAAGTACGGAGGCTGATGCTAGGTCAGTAGCGGGAAAACCCACGACAGATACGCACTGTTGCTGATAAACGCTAGCAAGCCAGATTCCTAGGGAGTGTATGATGCAACGGCGAGTCCAGGTGCATGAGATGGAACATTGCAAGAGAAGTGGAGAGACGGGACAGGAGAGAGGGTTGCTTGCGGGGCGAAAGTGAGGAGAGAGGACAGATGAGGAAGACGAGACGGGACGAGACAGGAGGAGGAGGAGGTTGTGTTGCGATTGGCGGTTGTTGGAAGTCGCACGACCAACGGAAACAACCAATGGGAGTGAGTGAGAGCGACCCGCCCGATTCCTCTGCATTCTCCCAAATCTGGGAAGGATGCAATACAGCTGATGCTCACCCCATGCACGCGAATTTACCTTGCACCGGATGGATACGCTGCACCCGAGGTTGTTTCCCCAGCTTCATGCACCTACATTACAAGCGCGTCGCGTGGTTTACATTACAAGCGCGTCGCGTGGTTATCAACCAGTAGTAACGAACAGACCGACGTCAAACTAGGTACAGACCGAAGTCAAGCAGAGGAGACTGAAGTCAAACTAGGTTACAGATCTTGTTTATAAGCACATGCGAATCATTTTTAGCTAGCTGCGAATTGCCGAAACTTATGCGAAATGCTCGTGACAGCTTATACGCCCCCTTCGTAAGGCAACCGGGAGGGGCTCAAACAGGCATCAGGTGTACAAACACCACCTCCACACATTGGTTTTGGTTACGGATTTACATTTCGGGACATCCCTTTCGGAGTGCTTTCTCAGTGTTATTCTGTTCCACGAACTACACGAACGAACTTTGCGTTGCCATTTGCTGCTATAGCCGCGGTTTTGGAGCATACGCTGGAATAGAAAAGTTTTGGGGATTGAAGGGTACATAGGTGTAACCTGAAAATCAGGTTGGCGCCCTTTGCCTCCAAGCAACAACACCCTCTTTCTCGCCATAATGAACTCGGTTGATGGTAGTTACGTTTTGGTATGGTTCATGTAGGCAAATCAAAGATAACAAGGTTTGCCACATGTTCGGCACATTTCAGTGTAGCGAGAAACAGGGTGAACAACGAGAAGCACTCAACCAGCCAATCATTTTAGATTTCACCTGAGTGGTCAGGCTCCTACAGTCTACGGTGTAATGCTGCTTCGCCATCAGCGACGACAGTGCAGGACAGTACTGTACAGTATTTCATCTGCGAGGTTGGTGAAATCTCAGGATCCAGGGCACAGGCGAAACGAAACGTCAGAGGCAAACGCAAGGACCAGGTGGGGCACGCCTGAATGGGGCGAACTTCATATTCCATGTTCGGGTGGCGAAAAGTCAAGTGTGGTAACGAGAAGGTTGGTCGCGGGATGGGAAGAATAGCGTTTTACGCGGTATGCAGTATCACGCGACGAAAGGAGAAGCTCATATTCTACAACAACCAATCGTGAATGATCGAAAAGCAGAAAGTTCAAAAGCAGTGCCCCGAGTGAGGATCGAACTCACGACCTTAGGATGGCTACCGCCTCACGAGTGAGGAGTCGGAATGCTATGAGACCTACGCGCTACCGACTGCGCCATCGAGGCTTGAATGTACATCTCAAACTTTTTTCTTTTGTAGAAAAAAATTCACGAGTAAAACGGCAAGCTGCTAGAAGGGGCGGCGGCGAAGCGTGCTTCAATCTCGTGCCGCCATTTAGGCATTCGCCCGTAGTAGCAGCAGCAACAGCACCAGCCGCTGAGAGGCGCGAGTAGCAGCAATGGCGCGGCCAGACGTCACAAACAGATAACTTAGTAGGTCACAAAGACTTGAGATAGCAGCAGCAGCAGCAGCTGAGAGGCGCTACTAGTGGTAGCAATGGCTCGGCCAGACGCGGCTAGCAGAGCGACGGGCGGCGGGAGGTGGCGCGGACGGGTGGCAGCGTTGGCGTATCTCTCCGTGTAGACCAGGCGTCTGCTTTTAAGACGACTCAAAAGCGTATATCGCCGCATAGACCAGGCGTCGCTAGTAGATGACTCACTAAGCCACAAACGCCTTCATAATAGCAGTGCAACAGCAGCAGCAACACCACCAGCAGCGGAGAGGCGCTACTAGTAGTAGCAATGGCGCGGCCAGACGTCGCAAGCAGAGCGGCGGGCGGCGGGAGGTGGCGCGGAAGGTTGGCAGCGTTGGCGTATCTCGCCGCATTCGCGCTCGCTATCGGGGTGAACTTGAACCCTCTGTACCGCTCCAAACCGCAGCAAATGGCACACGACCCTCTTCTTTCTGTTTCGGATTCTGCTGCTGATGCTGATGCTGCTGATGCTGATGCTGGTGCTGGTGGTGCGGGTGGTGATGCTGGTTCTGTTAGTGTTGCTAAAAATAGCGGTTCTGATAATACTACTACTATGAATAGTAACTCCCACATAGACTCCTCTCCCTCATCTACCCTCGCAGCCTCCCATTCTCCTCCGCCTTCCCTGCCCCTTCCTCCCCCCTTTTCCCCTCCGCTTCCTCCCCCTTTCTCCCCTCCGCCTCCTTCCCCTCCCGACTTTCCTCCGCCTGTTCCTCTCCTCTCTCCTCCTCCTTCTGTTTCCCCTCCCCCTCCTTCTCCTCCCCTTTCTCCCCCTCCTTCTGTTTCCCCTCCGCCTCCTTCTCCTCTTGTTTCTCCTCCTCCTCTGAAAGAAGAGACAGCAGCAGCAGCAGCAGCAGCAGCAGCACAAGCAGCATCACAAGAACCAGCAGCACCAGCGCTCGTGACAGGTGCCCCTCCCGCGCCAGTCGTTTCGGCTGCTGACGCGGCAGCGGACGCGGAGGAAGGGCAGGAGAGTCTGCAAGTGGGGCTGACTATAGTGAATACATCTACTGATCCTGGTGCAGGTAGGTAGGTGCTGTGGTCATACACCTGGAGGGCCAGATTCCTGCTAGCGGGGCTGACTATAGTGAACACATCTACTGATCCCGGTGCAGGTAGGTAGCTGTTGTGATCCTACAGCCAGATTGCTGCTAACGGTAGGTAGGTGCTGCAGTCTCCTGGGGTGGATTGGAGGACACACATTCCACCCTGGAAGGCTAGGCGGCTGCTACTAGCGGGACTAACTATGGCGGCGCTAGCGTAACTGTACTTATGGGTTGGCTCTGGAATGGATGGACGGATGGATGGGTGGGTCAGGTGGTCTCAAGGTTAGGCTGCTAGTGGTGGGGTGGGTCTGACAATTGGGATTCACCCTGATTTGAAATTTGAAGAATGGGTTGGCCCTGGGAGACGGACGGATGGATAGGACGGACGAATGGGTCAGCTGACCTCACGGGTAGGCTGCTAGTTGTGGGTCGGGGTGGGGCTGGTTAGCAACACGGATTTTCTCTGATGTTCTCAGCACACGTGCTCATGCCCCTCTGCACCCCTCTCCATTCCTCTCCACCCCTCTATATCTCGCGCCAACCCTCTGCAACCCCCACGGCCCTCCAGTCTGCCTGGACGGCTCCCCTCCAGCCTTCAACTGGCATCCTGGGAGGGGAACCGGGAGGAACAAGTGGATCCTCTATCTCGAGGTGGGTGCTGTGCGGTGCAGACTGGTGTAACGCGGTACAGTAGGTGATAGTGCAGTGCAGTGCGTTACTGCAGGCTGGAGTTCTTCTATTTGGTTTGGCCTTCAACTGGCGTCCTGGGAGGGGCACGGGGAGGCACAAGTGGATCCTCTACCTTGAGGTGGGTTCTGTGCGGTGAAGGGTGCTAATGTGCGGTTCAGTAGAGTACAGTGCGTTGCACATATTGTTTTCCTCGGCCTTCAGCTGGCATCCTGGCAGGGGAACCGGGAGGAACAAGTGAATCCGCAGCTTCAGTCGAGTTGAAGCTGCATGCCCTGCCCAGGTACGCAGGTACACCTCCCTGCCCTGCCCATCATCCCTGCACACTCCCTGTTGCCACCTCCATACAGGGCGGCGCGTGGTGCATGGACGCAGCGCACTGCATCGACCGCAGCTTCTCCAACTTTGGATCCTCCACAAAAATGGGTGACTGGCGGCTGCAAGGGCTGCTCTCCTCCAGCCGCACAACCAATCCCGGTGAGTCCCTCTCTTGCGCCCCACCCCCTCTCTAGTTATGACTGTCCTCTCGCCTCTCCTCCACCAGATGAGCCACTGAATGCTGCAAGGGCTGCTCTCCTCCAGTCGTAAAACAAACCCCGGTGCGTGGTTCTCTTGTGCTCTGCCCCACCCTCTCTCTAGTTACGTATGTCGGGCCCCTCGCCTCCCCTTGCCGCCCTCTCCTCCACCAAGATGGGCGACTGGCGGCTGCAAGGGCTGCTCTCCTCCAGTCGTAAAACAAACCCCGGTGCGTGGTTCTCTTGTGCTCTGCCCCACCCTCTCTCTAGTTACGTATGTCGGGCCCCTCGCCTCCCCTTGCCGCCCTCTCCTCCACCAAGATGGGCGACTGGCGGCTGCAAGGGCTGCTCTCCTCCAGCAGAGCAACCGATCCCGGTGAGTCCCTCTCTTGTGCCCCAACCTCTCTTAGCTACTACCGCCCCCTCTCCTCTCCCCTCCTCCTCCATCAAGATGGGCGACTGGCTGCTACCAGGGCTGCTCTCATCCAGCGGTTATTCCATTCCTCCTTCATTCGCCCATCCTCTTTAACTCTCCCTTCTCTTTGTCTCTCCCTTGTCCCCCCTCATCCTCCTTGCTTCTTCAACTGGAACCTGGTCGTTCCTCCACTCGTTCCTCCTCTCCACAGTACTGTGATGGAGTTTCATCCCTCCACCTTCATGCGATCCAACTCTTGCCGCACCTTCCCCAATCCCACCATCCCCCATCACCTCTCCCCTCCTTCTCCCAGTCTTCTTCAACTGGAACCTCGTCTATATCCGTTACTGCAATGGACCTCCCTTCCCCCACTCTCATGCTTCCACCCCTTCCAACCTCACCCCTTCATCCGCCTTTTTCAGACTTCTTCAACTGGAACCTCGTCTACATCCGCTACTGCGATGGGACTTCTTCATCCCCTCACCCTCATCAAAATCCCTCTGCTTCCACCTCTGCCCTTTCCTTCCTCCCCTCCTCCCCGCTCTCCCACTTCCGCTCCTCCCCCAGACTTCTTCAACTGGAACCTCGTCTACATCCGCTACTGTGATGGAGCTTCCTTCGTTGGCAACGTTGACGAGCCGATAAAGGATCATGTGAGGGAATCACGGGATTATTTAAAGGTGTTAGCGAATGGACATGAACGGTTTGTGAGAAGGAGCATAGTGAATGCAAAAACAAGAATTGTTAGTGCTTCGTTTGTCTGGAACGTTGACGAGCTGATCCGAGCCCTGTGAGTGACTGGTGCGAAGGAGCATGGTGATTATGATTGTTAAGACTCTATTCATGGGGCGTCTTTTTCAAAACCCTTATTCATGTTTCTTGTAAGTGAATGGGGTTTCTTTTTCAATACCCTTATTCGTGCTTCTTGTAAGTGACTGGGGCTTATTTTCAAAACCCTTATTCACTATGCTCCTTTTCACTATAACCCTATCCCAGTTGTGGCGGGCCCTAATCCCCCCTCTGCCTCATCCCATCTATAGAAAGGCACGCTGCAGATCTGCTTGCTGCTGCTATCTGCTCTCCCTCTCGGGACGCCCCAATCAACCACTGCTAAACCGCCGCCTCATACCTCCCTCCCACAGGAGGGCAAGCCGCAGACTGACATGTGCGTGGTGGCCGTGTGTTCAGTGCAATTTTCTCCCACCTGCTAGCCCACCACGCCATGCACTTAGCCTCCCACGTCCTCCTCTCCGGCTGCTCTGCTGGCGGCCTGGCTGCCCTCCTGCTGTGCTGCTGCTGCCACCGCTGCTATCCTGCTGCTACCTAGTTTCTATCTGAAGTTTTACCGACTAAAGCTCTGCTGCTGTCCCACCCACCCGCTTCCTGTACTCTGTGTCACCCACAGGAGGGCAAGCCGCAATTCTACATGCGTGGTGTTCGTATGTTCAACTCGATAATCTCCCACCTGCTAGCCCACCACGGCATGCGCTCAGCCTCCCACGTCCTCCTCTCCGGCTGCTCTGCTGGTGGCCTGGCTGCCCTCCTCCTGTGGTGCCGCGAGTTGGTTAAATCTGAGCTTTTACCAACGACTGGTGATAGGCCATCCCCTGCACCCGCCTCTGCCTCCTCACCCCCATCGCCCCACACACAGGAGGGCAAGCCGCAGATCTACATGAGGGGTCGCCGCGTGTTCAATTCTATCCTCTCCCACCTGCTAGCCCACCTCGGCATGCGCTCAGCCTCTTGTGTTGCCCTTACCCCCCTCTGTCCCTTCACCCTCACAGGAGGGCAAGCCGCAAATTTACGTGCGTGGTTTCCGAGTCTTCAACTCGATAATCTCCCACCTTCAAAATCACCTCGGCATGCGCTCAGCCTCCCACGTCCTCCTCTCCGGCTGCTCCGCTGGCGGCCTGGCTGCCCTCCTCCTGTGCGACAGCCTGGCTGATCGGATGAGGAGGGAGGGTGGGAAGGGGGAGGGGGGAGGAGAGGGAGGAGAGGGAGGAGGGGAGAAGGGAGGAGTGGAAAGGAGGGAAGGGGTGGTGGTGAAGTGTTTGTCGGATGGCGGTTATTTTCTAGATGCGAGGGATGTGGGCGGCAGCAGGCACTTCCTGAGGGACACCATGCTCCGTCCAGTCACTGCATTCCATGTGAGTTCGCTGTGCTACTTGTGATGTAAGTTTGCGAGGAGACGGGTGGTGGTGAAGTGCATGTCGGATGGCGGTTATTTTCTGGATGCGAGGGATGTTGGCGGCAGCAGGCACTTCCTGAGGGACACCATGCTCCGTCCGGTTACCGCGTTCCATGTGAGTTCAGTTCAGCGTGAGGTTTCTGTGTAAAATTTTTGCATTCCCTAATACAGGTGAGGTAGGAAGGAGTGGTGGTGAAGTCTGCTTTTGAGTCGACGCAGTTAGTGCATTTCCCAATACAGGTGAGGTAGGAAGGAGTGGTGGTGAAGTCTGCTTTTGAGTCGACTCAAAAGCAGTTAGTGCATTTCCCAATACAGGTGAGGTAGGAAGGAGTGGTGGTGAAGTCTGCTTTTGAGTCGACTCAAAAGCAGTTAGTGCATTTCCCAATACAGGTGAGGTAGGAAGGAGTGGTGGTGAAGTCTACGCTGGAAGGTGTGTGTCACTTTCATCCCTGAGAAACTGTTTGTGTTTTTTGAGAATTCTTTTGAGGCGCCTCAAAATGTGCCACCTTCATCACTGAGAAAGTGTTTGTTTTTTGAGAATTCTCAAAAAACAAACGCTCCACCTTCATCCTTTGAGAAAGTGGTTACTTTCTGGATGCGAGGGATAAAGGTGGCACACACTTTCTGAGAGTAACCATCTTCCTTCCGGTTACCACGTTACGTGTGCGTTCTTCTGGTCACATACCGTGTTACATTTCAGCGCTCGTGGTTACATTACATCCCGTGTTACATGTGACCTCTCCTGGTTACATACCTTGTTACACGTGAGGTTTGGTCAGTGCAGCCCCTCCCTCGCTCTCGATCCTGTCCGTCCCCTCCCTTTCCTTTCCTCGCATCTCTTATTCGTACAGAACGTCACTCTGAACCCCCACTGCCTGGCATCTCGGCCACCCAACGACAGCTGGCAGTGCTGCTTCCCAGAGAACTGAACTTTGAGGCGCCTCAAAATTCAACGACAGCTCGCAGTGCTTCTTCCCAGAGCACTTCCTTTCCTCCTCCTGATTTCCCTCTTCCTTCTCTCCTCCCTCCTCTGCCCCACCCTTTCAACAGAACGTCACACTGAATCCCCGATGCCTCGCATCTGGTCCACCCAACGACAGCTGGCAGTGCTTCTTCCCAGAGCATTTCCTCCCCTTCCTCCACACGCCCTTCTTCATTCTCAACTCGCTCTATGACTCCTGGCAGGTAAGAACCTCTCTTGGATAGACTGATTTTCACATGTACTCTCGTTCGTTCGCATGCTCTTCGCTCCCCCTTCCTCGAAACGCTCTTCCTCATTCTCAACTCCCTTTACGACTCGTGGCAGGTAAGAACCTCTTTTAGACTGATCGATTTTCACATGTACTCTCGTTCATTCGCATGCTCTTCCTATTTCTATTTCCATTTATAAGAGGAGTAAAAGTTTCTTCGTTCTCGACCGTTCTACCTTTTTGCCCTTCACTGTCTTCCCGAAAGGCGCATTGCACGCGTGCCGCTTGTTGCTGCAGGGCTGTTCTGGCTCGACTCATTGGCACCCTCTGCATGTCCCCCCCATCCCACGTGTTTGAAGAAGTGTTTTGAAGAAGTGTTTTGAAGAAGTGTTTTGAAGAAGTGTTTTGAAGAAGTGTTTGAAGAAGTGTTTTGAAGAAGTGTTTTGAAGAAGTGTTTTGAAGAAGTGTTTTGAAGAAGTGTTTTGAAGAAGTGTTTTGAAGAAGTGTTTTGAAGAAGTGTTTTGAAGAAGTGTTTTGAAGAAGTGTTTTGAAGAAGTGTTTTGAAGAAGTGTTTTGAAGAAGTGTTTTGAAGAAGTGTTTTGAAGAAGTGTTTTGAAGAAGTGTTTTGAAGAAGTGTTTTGAAGAAGTGTTTTGAAGAAGTGTTTTGAAGAAGTGTTTTGAAGAAGTGTTTTGAAGAAGTGTTTTGAAGAAGTGTTTTGAAGAAGTGTTTTGAAGAAGTGTTTTGAAGAAGTGTTTTGAAGAAGTGTTTTGAAGAAGTGTTTTGAAGAAGTGTTTTGAAGAAGTGTTTTGAAGAAGTGTTTTGAAGAAGTGTTTTGAAGAAGTGTTTTGAAGAAGTGTTTTGAAGAAGTGTTTTGAAGAAGTGTTTTGAAGAAGTGTTTTGAAGAAGTGTTTTGAAGAAGTGTTTTGAAGAAGTGTTTTGAAGAAGTGTTTTGAAGAAGTGTTTTGAAGAAGTGTTTTGAAGAAGTGTTTTGAAGAAGTGTTTTGAAGAAGTGTTTTGAAGAAGTGTTTTGAAGAAGTGTTTTGAAGAAGTGTTTTGAAGAAGTGTTTTGAAGAAGTGTTTTGAAGAAGTGTTTTGAAGAAGTGTTTTGAAGAAGTGTTTTGAAGAAGTGTTTTGAAGAAGTGTTTTGAAGAAGTGTTTTGAAGAAGTGTTTTGAAGAAGTGTTTTGAAGAAGTGTTTTGAAGAAGTGTTTTGAAGAAGTGTTTTGAAGAAGTGTTTTGAAGAAGTGTTTTGAAGAAGTGTTTTGAAGAAGTGTTTTGAAGAAGTGTTTTGAAGAAGTGTTTTGAAGAAGTGTTTTGAAGAAGTGTTTTGAAGAAGTGTTTTGAAGAAGTGTTTTGAAGAAGTGTTTTGAAGAAGTGTTTTGAAGAAGTGTTTTGAAGAAGTGTTTTGAAGAAGTGTTTTGAAGAAGTGTTTTGAAGAAGTGTTTTGAAGAAGTGTTTTGAAGAAGTGTTTTGAAGAAGTGTTTTGAAGAAGTGTTTTGAAGAAGTGTTTTGAAGAAGTGTTTTGAAGCCGTGTTTTGAAGAAGTGTTTTGAAGAAGTGTTTTGAAGAAGTGTTTTGAAGAAGTGTTTTGAAGCCGTGTTTTGAAGAAGTGTTTTGAAGCCGTGTTTTGAAGAAGTGTTTTGAAGAAGTGTTTTGAAGCCGTGTTTTGAAGAAGTGTTTTGAAGAAGTGTTTTGAAGAAGTGTTTTGAAGAAGTGTTTTGAAGAAGTGTTTTGAAGCCGTGTTTTGAAGAAGTGTTTGAAGCCGTGTTTTGAAGAAGTGTTTTGAAGAAGTGTTTTGAAGAAGTGTTTTGAAGAAGTGTTTTGAAGAGTGTTTTGAAGAAGTGTTTTGCCGAAGTGTTTTGAAGAAGTGTTTTGAAGAAGTGTTTTGAAGAAGTGTTTTGCCGAAGTGTTTTGAAGAAGTGTTTTGAAGAAGTGTTTTGCCGCCGTGTTTTGAAGCCGTGTTTTGAAGAAGTGTTTTGAAGAAGTGTTTTGAAGCCGTGTTTTGAAGAAGTGTTTTGAAGCCGTGTTTTGAAGAAGTGTTTTGAAGCCGTGTTTTGAAGAAGTGTTTTGAAGAAGTGTTTTGAAGAGTGTTTTGAAGAAGTGTTTTGCCGAAGTGTTTTGCCGAAGTGTTTTGAAGAAGTGTTTTGAAGAAGTGTTTTGAAGAAGTGTTTTGAAGAAGTGTTTTGAAGAAGTGTTTGAAGAAGTGTTTTGAAGCCGTGTTTTGAAGAAGTGTTTTGAAGAAGTGTTTTGAAGAAGTGTTTTGAAGAAGTGTTTTGAAGCCGTGTTTTGAAGAAGTGTTTTGAAGAAGTGTTTTGAAGAAGTGTTTTGAAGAAGTGTTTTGAAGAAGTGTTTTGAAGAAGTGTTTTGAAGAAGTGTTTTGAAGAAGTGTTTGCCGAAGTGTTTTGAAGAAGTGTTTTGAAGAAGTGTTTTGAAGAAGTGTTTTGAAGAAGTGTTTGAAGCCGTGTTTTGAAGAAGTGTTTTGCCGAAGTGTTTTGCCGAAGTGTTTTGAAGAAGTGTTTTGAAGAAGTGTTTTGAAGAAGTGTTTTGAGACGTCTCAAAACACTTCTTCAAACACTCTGCATGTCCCCCCCCTCCCATCTACGTGAATTTTACTTTTGAGAATTCTCAAAAGTAATATTCACATTGGCACCCTCCGCATGTCCCCCCCATCCCATCCGCAGATCGCCAACTCCTGTGCATCCTTCACACTCTTCCTAGAGGAGGCATGGAATGCGTGCCACATGCCAAATCGCAAGCTTTCAACCCTTATCCTTTCCCTGCTGCAATGTGTTGCCCAATGCTCTCCCATACGCAGATCGCCCACTCTTATGCATCTTACACACTCTTCCTAGAGGAGGCGTGGCATGCGTGCCACATGTCCCTGCAGGGATGCGATAAGGAGAAACTCGATAAGATCCATGGTGAGGCACAGTGATTGAGGGGTTAGATACATGAGCATCCATGGTAGTAAGGCATAGCATAGTGACTGGCTGGAAATGAAGCACACGGCATGTGTGCCACCACATGACGCTGCTGGGTGCAATCAGGAGGTGCAATCAGGAGGTGCAATCAGGAGGTGCAATCAGGAGGTGCAATCAGGAGGTGCAATCAGGAGGTGCAATCAGGAGGTGCAATCAGGAGGTGCAATCAGGAGGTGCAATCAGGAGGTGCAATCAGGAGGTGCAATCAAAAGCAGCTAGGTCTTATCCACGGTAAGGCATGGCAGAGTGGCAGGCAGGGCTTGAAATGCGGCACATGGCAAGCGTGCCGCATATCTATGCAGGGGTGCAATCAGGAGGTGCAATCCGGAGTGGCCCGATCTTATCCGCGGTAAGGCATGGCAGAGTGGCAGGCAGGGCTTGCAGATGGAGGCATCAACCCTGCAGGGCAGGGTGGTAGGGAAGGGGGGCAGGTCATGTCTGCTGCATGGCGCCGCATGATGCCGCATGTCGCTGCAGGGGTGCAATCAGGAGCAGCCAGATCTTATCCACGGTATAGCATGGCAGAGTGACATTTCAAACCCAGACTCTTAAGTCGACCCAAAAGTCAGCTCTTATTCATGGTAAGGCATAAGAGAGTGACATGTCGAACCCATGTCAACTGTTGACTTGACTCACCAGCTCCTCTTGGCAACCCCTCACCCTCACTTCCACCCCTTCTCTGCCACGTCAGCCTATCGGGATGAGATGGTGGCCCAGGTGTCGCCCCTCCTCTCGTCCAATCACAGCGCGGCACTTGTCCGGCGGCGACTAGCTGGAGCATCGAGCGGAACAGCAGTGAACGGAGCGTACCTCATCTCTTGCCGAGCACACTGCATGGTGAGGAGGAGTGGGACATCTCAAAAGTTACTATTGAGGCGCCTCAAAAGTCGTCTAAATGTGATTATTGAGGTGACTAGAAAATAACCTGGAACTGCAGCAAGTGGAGCGTACCTCGAGTCCTGCCGAGCACACTGCATGGTGAGGAGGAGTGAGATACCTCAAAGGTGATTATTGAGTTGGATGAAAGAATCTGGATGGAACTGCAGCAAGTGGAGCGTACCTCGTGTCCTGCCGAGCACACCGCATGGTAAGGAGTCTCGAGACGTCTCAAACCTTGAAAGTGCCTTGTGTTCTTCTGAGGCGTCTTGAAACGCCCCAAATGTGCTCTGCCTCATGCCCTCCATGGTCCAGGAATTCCTTTGAGACGTCTCAAGAGACGACTCAAAAGCCACCTCAAAAATTGCCTCAAAAGTCGTCTCACAAGTCCTCTTTAACCTTGAAAGTACCTTGTGTTCCGCCTCATGCACTGCATGGTCCATGAATCCATCTTATCCCCCATGAATCCTTTTGAGACGTCTCAGAAGTCGTCACACAAGTTGTCTCAAACCTTGAAAGTACATTGTATTCTAACTCGTGCACTGCATGGCCCATGAATCCATCTTATCTTCCCCCCATGTGTTGCTTCTCGATTCGCATCTACCCCATTTCATCCATTCGTCTCCTCCCATGTGCCCCTGCGCTTTTTTTTTTTTTTAGAATTCTAAAAAATCATCGATTCCCCCATTTGAAGCTTCTCGATTTGCATCCACCCCATTTCATCCATTCATCTCCTCCCATGTGTCCCCATTTTGTAACACAGGCCATGGGCCCTTTGTGGCATCGCAGCATGGCAATCACTTTTGAGAATTCTCAAAAGTGATTCCAAAACAGCACATATTCAAACCCCATTTCATCCATTCATCTCCTCCCATGTGTCTTCATTTCATAACACACGCCATGACTCCCACGTGGCATGGCAGCACGGCTTCAAGAATACACAAGAAGGTTCATGAGGCGCCTCAGAAGTTGTCCCCAAGTGTTACTTCTTTATGACCATGCACCCCACTGCATCCATCCATCCATGCCCCCTTCATCCATGTAACAGGCCATGACTCCAATGTGGCATGGTAGCACTGCGCCGCCAAGAATACACAACATTGCAAATCCATCTTATCTCCCCATTTATCTCCTTTGATCCATGTAACAGGCCATGACTCCCATGTGGCATGGCAGCACTGCACCAAGAATACACAACAAGGTACACTCTTGCCCCATACTTTTTCCATATAAATCCTGGAGATTTTCCGTATTTGTTCCGATGTTTTCCCCCATGAATATTCTGTGTCTTCACTGTGGTAAACTTATTCTCTATCACTTTCATTCCCCCACAGACCATGGCAGAGGCAGTGGGAGACTGGTTCTTTGACAGGCAGAGTGTCGCCCTTATTGACTGTAAACACCCCTGTAATCCCACCTGCACATGATTATATGTACCGGTACTATCCGCGTCAGCATGCCATTCTGTCTTGCAAGTTCCATGTATGGTAGTGTAGATTAGGTTATCGGCAATATATGAATTGAGGGCACATTATGAAGGCTTCAAACATGAATTTACTAATACACATGCAAGAACCCCCCATCTCCAATATGCAATCACAGGAAGTATCACAACAACGGGTACATTATTGAAGGAATTGCCCGTGTGCAACAGCCTGGCTAATTATCCTACAGATAGAACTCTATAGCGCAGTCAAGGGTGTTCGAAACCCTGGGATTTTCTGTTGCAGTTTCGCTTCTTGGCGGCTGCGATTCCACCATCAACGAACGCGAACCAATCGACGGTGCTTGTCACCCTCGTAGCCGCGGCATGTCTCGCACAACCGTCGATTGCATTCTCTCAAACACAACCTTGATCGTAGCGACAATCATTGACAATATTGGGCTCAGGCAGGTACCAGGAGTCACATCGTTAGGGGCCTCTAGCCTAGTCCGGAATACATCTTAGTGGGTCGTTCAGGCAAACAATAATATACTCGGCAGCTGACACTTTCTTCCGTTCAACAATCTCAGCCGTCGATGGTCATGGACCGCTCATGTGAATCCAGTCGGCTCGGAGAGTTGAGCAATAACGGTGATGCCGATAGTAACGAAAGTAGCAGGGAGACAGCCCGCGAGAGTGCGAATACCAGGGGTACTGGCGCAAGAGCTAAACCTGTAACTGATGTTACAGCTACTCCAGGAACCGATTTTGTAACACCAGATGCTGACCCTGTAACCGCATCAACTGACAATGTAACACGAATATGCGACGATGTAACGCCAGCGACCCACGCGAAGTTCTCTGCAGCATCAGCAGCAGCGACTGATGCCAAGACAGCAGCAGTTATGGGTGATACAGCCACACCACCGCTAGGGAGCAACGCCACGTCAGCAAACAACGACGGTTCCGCTGCACCCGAATCACGGCAGGGAGCAGAAACAGGGCATGGAGCGGACGCAGCAAAAGGAGCGGATTTAGGGAAGGGAGCGAAATCAAAGAAGGAAGCGGAACCAGTCAAGGGAACGGAACCAGAGGGGGGAGCAGATTCAGGGAAGGTTCCTGAAAGCTCTTCCCCCGTGGGATTCGACAGCGCGACGGGCGTGTGGCTGCTGACGTCAGAGGGCGAGACGCTCCAGATGGACAGACGCGTCGCGACGTTCATCCCCTTCCTCTGGCAGGCCATGGCTCAGAAGTCATCTCAGGCCATGGCTAGAGCCAAAATGGAGAAGTCGTCTCATTCTGACGAGGGTGCGAGAGGGAAGGGAGAGGGAGCGGGCGTGGGTGATGCTGTCAAGAAGCTGAGTGATTATTCCGTGATTGCAGCTGCCGGTGCTGCTGCTGCTGGCGCGGTGGTTGCTGATACTGCTGGTGCTGCTGCTGCTGGCGCGGTGGTTGCTGATACTGCTGGTGGTGCTGCTGCTGGTAGTGGTGCTGCTGGCTCTACCGCTGCTGCTGCTACTGCTGCTGCGGGTGCTGGTGGCAGTGGGGGTGAATCGCACGAGTCATCGCCTATTCTTCTCCCGAAGCAGGTGTCAGCAGCGGTGCTGCAGCTGGTGGTGGAGTATTGCCGCTATCACAGCGTGCCAGGGCGCTCCGATAAGGTGAGAGGGAGTGAGTGTGAGAGAGACTGTGTGTGAGAGAGTGAGAGCTAGTCCAGTGGCTCAAGCAGGCAGGTCAGCATCAGCAGGTGTCAGCAGCGGTGCTACAGCTGGTGGTGGAGTATTGCCGCTACCACAGCGTGCCAGGGCGCTCCGATAAGGTGAGAGGGAGTGAGTGTGAGAGAGACTGTGTGTGAGAGAGTGAGAGCTAGTCCAGTGGCTCAAGCAGGCAGGTCAGCATCAGCAGGTGTCAGCAGCGGTGCTGCAGCTGGTGGTGGAGTATTGCCGCTACCACAGCGTGCTAGGGCGCTCCGATAAGGTGAGAGGGAGTGAGTGTGAGAGAGACTGTGTGTGAGAGAGTGAGAGCTAGTCCAGTGGCTCAAGCAGGCAGGTCAGCATCAGCAGGTGTCAGCAGCGGTGCTACAGCTGGTGGTGGAGTATTGCCGCTACCACAGCGTGCCAGGGCGCTCCGATAAGGTGAGAGGGAGTGAGTGTGAGAGAGACTGTGTGTGAGAGAGTGAGAGCTAGTCCAGTGGCTCAAGCAGGCAGGTCAGCATCAGCAGGTGTCAGCAGCGGTGCTGCAGCTGGTGGTGGAGTATTGTCGTTACCACAGCGTGCCGGGGCGCTCTGATAAGGTGAGTCCGTGTGTTGCTATGTGAAGTTAGGGCTGAATGTCAGGGTAGACAGGTCAGTCAGTGGTAGCAGGCGTCAGCAGCGGTGCTGCAGCTGGTGGTCGAGTACTGCCGCTACCACAGCGTGCCGGGGCGGTCGGATAAGGTGAGAGCGCAAGTGAGTGAACGAGAATATGTACGTGTGCAAGGGTGGGAGCTACTGCAGTGGTTCAAGCAGTGCTGCATCTGGTGTTGGAGTACTGCCAGTCTGCGCCTCTCCTAGTCCTCCCCAACCCCTCCCCTCCCGTTGCAACCCCCTTGTCTCCCTCCATTTCCCTCCGAACAGGAACGGAGGCTCTTTGATGAGAAGTTTGTACGGGTGGATCCGAGGAGGTTGTGCGAGCTGACGTCAGCGGCGGATGTGCTTCAAATGAAGCCTCTGGTGGACCTCACTAGCAGAGCACTGGCGCGGCTGATAGAAGGGAAGTCGCCTGAAGAGATTCGGGAGACGTTCCACCTTCCAGACGACCTCACAGAGGTGGGTCTTGTGGTACCTGGTGGGAGAGGGTAAGTTGCCTGAAGAAATCACAGAGACGTTTCAGCTTCCTGATGCCCTTACAGAGAGGTGGTTGGTGTGGGTGGGTTGAGCGGGGTGGGGGAAGAAGGGGGGATAGACCTTGCACCTGCCAGCTGATAGAGGGCAAGTCACCGGAGGAGATTGTCTCATGTTGAGATGAATTCCCTTGCCTAGAACCCCCCCCTGTGGGCCCCTTTTGCTTCCCCTCCCCCACTTTGTCCACACCTTGTCCTCCCACCCGCTTTCCTGTCACATGTAACTGCAGGAGGAGAAGCTGGAGCTGGCGCAGTGGGTTCACATGTGGCGCAGTGGGGTCACATGTGGCGCAGTGGGGTCACATGTGGCGCAGTGGGGTCACATGTGGCGCAGTGGGGTCACATGTGGCGCAGTGGGGTCACATGTGGCGCAGTGGGGTCACATGTGGCGCAGTGGGGTCACATGTGGCGCAGTGGGGTCACATGTGGCGCAGTGGGGTCACATGTGGCGCAGTGGGGTCACATGTGGCGCAGTGGGGTCACATGTGGCGCAGAGCAGCACTGATGATCCCCGCATTTGCCTGCTGAACCGGCTGTAACCCATTCTTCCCGATCCTCCCACCATACCCACCCCATCCTCCCCATCCCCCATTATAATCGCAGGAGGAGAAGCTGGAACCAGTGAGGAGCGGCACGGACGACCCGCGAATTCGCCTGCTGAACCGCCTTTACGCAAAGAAGAGGAAGGACCTCATGAGGAAGAAGGTGTGTGCGTTAGTCCACCTACTTAAAGTCGACTACTGAACCGGCTGTATGCAAAGAAGAGGAAGGATCTCATGAGGAAGAAGGTAGGTCATTTTTAGGAATTACTATCCGTAAAACTACGTTCGAGTCGACTCAAATTCCTGCTGCTGCTGCTGCTGCTGCTGCTGCTGCTGCTGCTGCTGCTGCTGCTGCTGCTGCTGCTGCTGCTGCTGCTGCTGCTGCTGCTGCTGCTGCTGCTGCTGCTGCTGCTGCTGCTGCTGCTGCTGCTGCTGCTGCTGCTGCTGCTGCTGCTGCTGCTGCTGCTGCTGCTGCTGCTGCTGCTGCTGCTGCTGCTGCTGCTGCTGCTGCTGCTGCTGCTGCTGCTGCTGCTGCTGAGCTGAATCAGCAGTACGCGGAAAAGAGGAAGGTGAGGAAGAAGGTATGTTCATGAGTCAGAAGAAAAAACTGCTCAACGCATCGAGGAGAGGGGGCAGTTCAGTGCGGTTTTTCTGGTGTGCTACTCCTGTCCTGCGTGTGTTCTTTTAATCTCGTTCTGCCTTGACCGCTCCTCCTGAGGAGCAGGACAACTACGTGGGCCCCTCATTTTCAAGAGGATGAGAACGAGGAAGGGCAAGGAGAAGAAGGAGGAGGAGGAAAGGCGCTAAGCAATGGTTGTAGCTCGTGATTGTCTCTCTCTGCCTTTACCTTTACTGTCTGTCAGGAGCACACACTCGACTCAACGAGTCACCCTCAGGAGGACGAATGCGAGGAGGAGGAGGAGGAGCAGGAGGAGGAGGAGGAGGAGGAGAAAGGAAGGCTCTAAGCATTGTTTGTGGCTCGTGTTTGTCTCTCTCTCTACCTCTACTGTTTGTCAGGAGCACACACACTCGACGAGTCACCCTCAGGAGGACGAAAGCGAGGAGGAAGGAAGGGGAGGGAGGTCTCAAGGCGGCGAGAGGAGAAACAGAGAGAAGGAGGCAGGGAGGGGAGGGGAGAAGGAGAGGGAGAGGAAGGGCAGGGAGAGTGGCGGGCCGCGGGAGGCTATGCAGAGGCACCACAAGGAGCGATTGGTGGATGAGAGATCAGTGGATGACCTTTTGTCGTTCATCGATGGGGGAGGTGAGTCAGTGTGGTACTGGGTTTAGATTGAGGGTGCGGGAGGCGATGCACGGGCACCACAAGGAGCGAGTGGTGGATGAGAGATCAGTGGACGATTTGCTGTCATTCATTGATGGAGGAGGTGAGTCAGTGTGGCACTGGGTCTAGATAGATTGGGGGCACGGGAGACTATGCACAGGCACCACAAGGAGCGAGTGGTGGATGAGAGATCGGCGGATGAGAGATCGGCAGATGAGAGATCGGCGGATGAGAGATCGGCGGATGAGAGATCGGTGGATGTCCTTTTATCATTCATTGTGGGCCAGTTGAGTGAAGCCTGG